AGCTACTCGGTACCGCGTTATGACACCTATGATTAAAGGGATGTGGTCCGAAGGAGTTTCTCGTGCTATGCAACCTAGAGTTGTCGTGATATTCATTTCTGAAAGGAGGGTTTTGACGGAAAGCTGCATATTGGGTTCTTGTATTGCTAATTTCTTAGCTAAGAAATATTCTTCTCCGTCATTAGAAAACACTTGCCTGAAATGGTCTTTCTTCAAGAACGTTTCAGCTTTATATGGTGAGGTTTCGCCCGAACTCCTGAGTTTTCTGTCACCCTGAGAGCTTCTATTTATGGTGACCTTAGGGAAGATGATACGAACAGTTTTCTTTTTACAAGCAACTGAAGGATCAGGTTCATTTGTAGCTAGATTTGGTTGAGACCGTTGTACCGAGGAAGAGGTACATTCAACAGAATTACTGACCATGTCAGCGCTTTCTGATGGTTTGTGCGTGCACACAGCAGCCTCTATGTTTAAAGGGGATGAACTGGTCAGACCACTCTTTCTTTGTTTTCTGCGTCTGCACATGGTTTTGTCTTGTGCAATAGCAATATTTTTAAAGCTGCTACGTAACCTTATGTGGTCTTGTAGTTTAATAAATCTTTTGGCGTCAAGTGAAGTGGTGAACTTGAATATCATGGGGCAACCGGACTGCGCTGACATTTTGCGGTGGCGTTTACAGCCACAGCGTATTCCTGTCATACCTCATGAGTCTAATACCTTTGTCCTAACTACATTCAGGGGTAGGGTATCATGTATGTTGTAAACGGCCGCCTGTCGAAGCGACAATAGTCCCCTCATTACCCCCGTTGCCAAATGGTCCATTAAGGTTTCTGCCTTCTCCACATGGTCTTTAACTAAATCTTCATGCTTCCCAAGAAGATATGCTAATGGATGGAAATCCTCAACTGTTTTCCGGATCCCTTCCATCATGGTCTTAATGTTATCGATTCCTTTCCTGTGGTCAATAATACTGCTACTCATGACTGATATGATGTCCTCAGTTCTGACAAAAGGCGTGGGGTATACCAGTTCATCGAGATCTGAGGTATACGGAGTAACAATGCTTCTGTCACACAAAAGAGCACTGGAATGACCAAGTCTTTGCTTTTTCTCACCAGAGCAGTCAATTTTAAAGCATTTAGCTCTAGATCCCCTCACTTAAAAAAGACGTCAAAATCGAAACCTAGTGTTGAAATAGAAAAACAGCAAACGGCTATGCGTAGCATACCGAAAAGTTGGTAACGCACTATGTGAGGAGAACAGCAGAGTCGTAAGCCAAACATACAGGATAGATTGAAATATTGCTACAAAAATATAGTAATTGTAATCAGACACAACGGGAAATCTGCAAATTGATATAATCAAGAACCACATGAAAAAGAAGCGTGTGAATTCAGCTTCACCCCATCTGACTCCTTTTAATACAAGGCAATTAGCAGTCAACATACCTCCTTGATAATGCTGTATACTTCAGTGTGAATTCTGTGTGCGAAACTTCATCACCACTGGATAGTAGTTCTTCGAATTTTTGTTTATTTGCACGGGAACAGCTGATTCCATTGGATTACATCTGTATTACTGAGTAAGGTCATGCTAAGGATGGGAAGTGTGAGGACTTATATATGGCTATGATAACATTTACTGCCACCCGAAATCGATGAAGTGAGTTTTTGTTGACCAACAACACTATAAGCATGCTAACTGATGTTAAAGTAAACGTTTATCTGACAAAATACGGAACTATGCCGCCAGGTTAATCATCTCTGTCACATGTAACGCAAACGTCGAATATTGTACGATTTTCGCATCACTTTATTGTGAAAGAAGAATGGTGAGTAGAGACAACCGAAACTCATGCACAATCTTTATTTACTGTGAAGTGATATTTTTCTGTTCTTTTTATAGCCTGCAGTCGCTTTTGATACCATTGTAAACCGCGATGCGATACCTTCCGTACCATTCAGAACAGCTCAACTGCTGGGGATTTCTTTACCATTATCAATTTGATGATGCCTGTAAACTGGCTTCTGTCATATCAAGCTCTTAACTTGAGAATAAAATATTTATTTATTCATTTATTTATTAGTACACACTAGTACCTTGTAATAAGTGGCGTAAGATATGGATCACTTATCAGCCCGGTTCCAGTGAGGGGTACTACATCGGGTCCTACTTCACAGACTGGAGTCTCGAGGTCTGTCATCTGTACTTGCATGCTTCGGATATTGAGATAAAGTTATATGTACCGTTTGAAGAGTTCAATGACCCATTCATATAAGCTTAGAAGTATTCCTTCCCAAGACCTCACAAAGGGAAACACACAACTTTGAGATAGTTTTCGCGTCGTTAGAAAATTTCAGTTATCATCTGCATGACAAATATCAATCTGCTTCAGCCATATAAACATGATTTTAAATAGTTTTAACTAACCGTCGTCAGAAACAAACACGAGAAGAGCGGTAAAACGCAAAACAGTCAACTCGCTATTTAACACCTGTCAAAAACAGAATAAATTTCGAACAAATTGGGTAGGTTGATAAAGAAGTATCTTGGGCCTCATAACAGCAGTAAGCCCGAAAAATCTACATGTCTCAGAACCAATGAACGATCACTAAACCGTTATGCCTGACCTACATAGAGATGTGCCTCTACAGCGTGAGAGGTTAACAAGATTAGAAACCCTTTTAAGGAACATATAACAATCAGAATAGTGACAGTTTATGCTTTACCTTCTCGCGCGAAGTTTGATAGACTAGACGCGAGAGATCAAAATCTACCAGTTTTCTACGCTCACACTATCAATATTGGATATTGCACTTTTGTAGGTCAGAACACCGACTCGCTAGGACACCGACCAGGTCGTAAATAACGAATACCTCTGTCACGTCTGTATTACAGAGAAAAAAGTGTTCGAGAAGCTATCTTGGCTACGTCCGGGCAAGTCCCCTGGCTGCGATAACCTAAAACCAGTGGTTCTGAAAAACTGCGCCGAGGTGCTTACTAAACCACTTCGCAACCTCTTTGAGCACTCAGTAGACTCGTGCAAACTCCCCAAAGAATGGAAGAGCTCCATCTTGTCACCCATCTTCAAGGGAGGAGACAGAAAAAGCCCTGGCAGCTACAGGCCAATTGCCCTACTCCCTATTGTGTTGAAAGTGTTGGAAAGCCTGGTAGCTGACACCATCTGGGAATTCCTCAATAGGGAAAACACTGTCCACACTGCTCAGCACGGCTTTCGTAGTGGTCGCTCATGTGCCACCAACTTACTAACCGCCTGGGACGACTGGACACAAAGCTGGGATAACAGAAAACCTGTACATGTTGTATTTCTCGACCTAGCCAAGGCATTTGACAGTGTCCCACCCACAGTACTGCTTCACAAGATCATGTCAGCTGGTATAAGTGGACCCCTACTCTCTTGGTTCAAGGAGTACCTGGAAGGGAGGCAGCTCTGCACTAAAGTGAACAGAATAAGGTCGGAGTCGAGACCGTCGACGTCAGGAGTATCCCAAGGAGCAATCCTAGGACCGCTTCTGTTCCTCCTGTTTGTCAACGATCTGCCAGACAAAATATCCTCACCCATCCTCCTCTTCGCTGACGACATAAAAATTTGGAGGGTGGTAAACGAAGAAGCCGACTGTGCAGCACTACAAAAGGACTTGCAGTAACTCGAGCTCTGGTCGTCGGAAAATGGCCTGAGCTTCAACCTGGAAAAGTGCAAAGTAATGCACATCAGTAAAAATGAGGCAAGTACGACCGACTTCCAGTACATGCTGAGCAACCGTGCTATCACCAGAGTGTCCATGGAGAAAGATTTGGGGCTCAACTTCTCCGACACCTTGGACACCAGCTCCAACTACAAAGGTATGACAACCAGAGCGAACGCCATTCTACACTTTCTGCGTAGACAGCTTGGTGCCCTCACTCCCGAACTCTTCCTCACCATTTTCAAATCATACACGCGGCCGCACCTAGAGGTCTTCAGACGTATCCTGAAAGACTTAAACACCTCAACCTATTTACCTTGGGTTATCGCAGGAAAAGGGGTGACCTCATTATGGCATACAAGATCGCCCATCAGGCAGACCATGCAAACAAATCAATTTTGCCTGCAACTGAACGATCTTCACGAGGAAACCCCATTAAGATAGCACACCAGAGAGCCAACACCACACTCAGGTCCAAATTTTTCTCCCTAAGAGTATGTGCTTTATGGAATGCCTTACCGCGACACATCGTTATAGCTCCTTCAGTCGACTCTTTCAAGAGGCGATTAGACAGTTATGTCACCTCGCATGGACTACCACGGACGTACTCAGGTAGTCACCAACCTCAGTATCCCCCAACTCCCTCCTAACTACCACTCACTATCTCTCTCCTTAATACACCCACATTATCTACTGATTCTTCTGCAGGAACCAAACCCACACGGCCATTCGGGCAATTCCCAAATACTTTTCTTTCGTTCTCATTTCTCTTTTCACCCCTCCTTTTCTTCTCCTTCCCTTTTCTCTTCCCTATATTATTATTTTTTCCTCTCTTTTTTTTCATTTTTTAAAATTTTTTTCTTTATTCTCTCTTCATTCCTTTACCACTACCTTACTATTCTCTTTCAGGTACCTACACAGACAGGAGTCATGGCAGTTCTCTAAACTTCCCAGCAACCCGTAGCTCCCTAATCACTCTACAAATTACAACCTACTAACCCACAAAACATCCACCTCACCGAAGCTAAAAACAAGAAAGCAGAGGGTATTTCCTCGTCCACTGCAGAAGTGAACGGAACAACTGGAACCAAGCCCTAAGAACTAGACGCGAGAGATCAAAAACTACTAGTTTTCTACGCTCGCACTATCAATAGTGAGTAGTGATGTGTTTCGCTCGTCTCTCAGCTTTTGGATTTTTCCACAATGAAAAACTCCCACTTGCAATACTCAATCTAAAAACATCGAACGTTTGCAGCACTTCTGTCCGTCCACGCACCTCACCCCTGCGCATTCGTCAGCTCACTCCTCAACAGTTGAAAATTGGCATTATTATTCCTTTGAACCAACCGGTCTACCTCCTGTCAGTGGTTCTTGGGCGTTTCAACTGCCAAACTGCCTTAGCTCTCGGTTCTCCTCGGAGGTCATTCCCCAGGAAATATCTTTCCTGGTTATACATACGCATCTGGAGCTTACGGTTAAACTCGTTGGTCAAGAGCAGAGGATCAAGTGACAAGTGTCTGAAGGTGAGCCAACATAAATTATCTTCCCTTTTCTATTCTGTCCTTTTGCTGCATTCAGTCTTCAACCCTCTTATTGTTGTTAACTACTTGTTTTCCCAAGAAGTTTATATCATAGCGACATGTCTGCCCAAAACGCTAGGTCTGAAGCTTTGACACGGATAACGCGGTCGTGCACAAAACGGCCAGTAACACCCTAAACAACACACTAGTCTGTACTAGAAGACAAACAGAGGTAGGGCAGAACACCGAACTTCTAAGAAGTGGCCAACCCATGTTTCTAGAATTCCAGTAGCCATCAGACAGGTGACACAGAGTAGCACTAGCCCGTCACAAACTAGTCCTATCTTGAGCAAGGATCATACCATGCCTGAAATAGAAGACGACGTAAAAGGCTTCAGAACAAGGCAGCCACAAGCAGTTCGCCACAATCCGTAGCACCTTATTCATGGAAGGAAGGCTGTATTACGACACCCGATGGCTGCAGTGTTTGCACCAAAGTTGTTTCGGTAGTCGATGAGGCATTTGCATGCAACCTATGTCAACGATGGGCGCATTGCCACTGCGATACCAAAGTCCCCCGACAATACTATAAGCTGATGAAGAGACAACCATGCAAGTGGTTCTGGTACATCTGTCCAGAGTGCAGGAAAATGCCCGCACTCCGCACAGAAAGCCTGAAGGAGATGCTCTCCGCCACGCAAAAGCTACCAGCATCCTCGAATAAAGTAGGGTTAACACCAAAGGATAACACAGAGAGACCTGGAAACAGACCTAGAGCTCCAGCTGTGGGCACGCCACCTCGCGTGGGGACCATATTAGGTCAAGTCTCCATACCCCTACCCGGCCCCAGGGGACGTCAAGCGCATGGCCAAAGACATCGACCGCCGAAGCCTCTACGAAACCCATTCCGAACACCCCACACACCGTGACTGAGAAACAACCAGTGGAATTACTCAAACCCATTGGGAAGTCGGGCGTGCCACCCACAACGAACCCAGGTCACAGGAGGACCAACTCGATCATTTTGTTCAACGTCGATGTATCGACAGACTCATTGTTGGTCGAGAGGGAACAATTTGACAGCCGAATGTGGACCGACTACTGTCAGATGCTGGGACTCCCTCCCCTCCCTGCAACTTTGTGTCGCCTTTCTCGAGGAAGCCATGCACCCCGAGATAAGCCACCCCCTTTACGTGTGTCCCTAAATACCGCCAAAGAGGCTGAAGACACACTCCTCCTCTCGCGACAACCGGACGTTGTTAATGCCTGTAAAATTCGGGCCAGGCCTGACAAGCCATGGTCAATAAGAGAGGAGGAGAGAAAGTCAGCGGTTGGAAATCCCAACAGAAACAACACTATAGTTGTACATGGGATTCCAGAATTGCCAAGTGACAGCTCGGTCAAAGATCGGTACTTTCACGACGTCCAACAATGGCAATGGCTCTCAACCAAAGTTGGTCTCAACAGTATACCGGCCAACAGCGTCAGTAGACTGCCAAGGCCAGCGCACCTGAAGACCATACCCAATCCCAGACTACTTGCCGTCCAGTTCGACTCATATGCCTCCCTCACAGACGTTCTGCACGCATGGTATAATGCGAAAGATCGCATGGGTGGCTCAATACGTATATGTGAAAGTAAGCCTAGACCCACAAGGCAAGAGGAGAGACGGCAACCACCAAGACCTCTGGAGTCAGTGGTCGTCACACAGGCGCTGACCAGTGAGTTAGATACATCAAGTAAAGAAGCCACCACTGCTACAGCCCCCACCCAAGTTAAGAACAAAACACAAAAAACGGAACAATGCCAGTCCTATGAGGACTGGCGAGGCTAAATCAACCACGTAAGCGCTCATCCCTCGAAAATACACATCCAGACCTCCCCTCTCATCAGGCACACTCTAATATGTATGTACAGCAACGTTAGGGGGCTAAGAGGGAAGGTAGCAAAATGAGGACGCTGCGTGAACATCAGCACTCCGACATCATATTCATCACCGAATCCTGGCTCTCATCGGACATCTCCGACGAAGAGATGCGTGTTGCTGGCATGGAACTCTTCCGCAGGGACAGGGAACATAGAGCAGGAGGGGGAGTGGCTATCTACGTAAACTCCTGTTTAAAGGCAAGGATGGTTAGCGATACGGCCTTAACCCAGCTCCCAGAGTCTCTATGGTGCTACTTCACTCTCTTCTTTATTCTCTCTTCATTCCTTTACCACTACCTTACTATTCTCTTTCAGGTACCTACACAGACAGGAGTCATGGCAGTTCTCTAAACTTCCCAGCAACCCGTAGCTCCCTAATCACTCTACAAATTACAACCTACTAACCCACAAAACATCCACCTCACCGAAGCTAAAAGCAAGAAAGCAGAGGGATTTCCTCGTCCACTGCAGGAGTAAACCGAACAACTGGAACCAAGCCCTAAGAACTAGACGCGAGAGATCAAAAACTACCAGTTTTCTACGCTCGCACTATCAATATTGGATATTGGAATATTGGACATTGGGTATTGGGACCGCGCGGCGACCAGCCGCGGACCAAGTATCGTATGCTCCTGAGGTTGGGACATCGGACAGCATTATTGTTTGTTCCTTGCATGTCTCGTCTCAGTGGAAGTAAGAATCGTATTCATAGTTATTGTTTTCTGAAGGGGTAGGCCACCTGGTTTGAAAGGAAAAGAAATAGGCCTATGGTACGCTGGGCAGTCTAAAATGCGAGGTCATCAGGATCGTCAACCAACTGTACGTTCTACATTGTACCACATTTTTTCGACTCGTTTTGCTTATAGAAATCAATGTTTGATTGTAGACTTTTTAAAAATCTGTTGTTACATTGCCAGCATGAACTACGCAAATAACTTTCTCGTTTGAACATCGAGCATAAGACTTTTCTCGTAGTAATGGTACGGAACCAGTTTAGGAGCAAATTATGGCCTTAAAAACTAGATCCAAGTACAATTGTACTTCTTGTTAACGTAGTTATCTACATATTACTATTTCACCAATTGGCGACCAATTAACTCTGTTTTCCGTAATCAGGAAAGTAGATCAGTCGGTCTGTGTTAATTGTTGCAGGAAATGTCTCTGTGAAGATCTGGTTTCACTTTAAACGTGTTAACCGGAGGCACTGATATTATTTACCGAATTCAGGAGTTTCATTCGTTGACCACTTGAAAGGATAAATGGAGATTCACGCTTAGTTGATCAGATCGTGCTTTTTTAACTTTCTTGTGATGCCCTCAAAGATAGTCAATCCTAGCAGGATTTGTCGGTACCGAAGTCATAACTGAGGATACGGAATGGTAGTATTAGATCGCCCCGTTTCCTACGGTAAGAGCGGGAATTAGTTTGACCGATCTAATTGTTCCTCATAGAGCAAATTCCAAAAACGTGCCACAAGCTTAGTACCTACTCTCTAAACACGCTTGAGTATGTGAGCATCCTTTTTTATGCATGCGATGGTCATCTGGATGCGATTTTTCGAGTAAGGTCTGGCGTAACATGCACAGGAGATCAGCAGGCAGAACGAACTTCGTGTGGAGCAAATATGTGAAGTAAAGACCAACCTATCAAAAACGGGAACAAGTTTGAAAGTGTCAGTGACTTTCCAGTTTCTTACTATAGAGCCGGTGTTCTGCCTGTTGACCCCCTGTTAATGCTACTTGGAAATGTCTACGAGTCCAGCTATGAGTTGTAGGTTGTTCACCACACTGTGCCTGAAAAGTCTTGATGGTATCTGTTTATGTTGGGGGCTCAGTGCGAAAGTGTCATGACTTTGGGCTGGATGGATTACAACTTTGTCTACAATAATGTGTGTAGGTGTGTTACGCAACTGAATATGACTGCAATAAAAAACGGAGACTACGCCGTCTATCTCATAACGTATTAAACATTCATCACTTAGGCTGAGCTATCTGAAGGTTTCCTGGGGATAATTGTTTAACTTTATTACGAAGTTCTTATCAGGAAGTTTGCTTCCTCTGCTGTCATTCATAAGACTTCAGTTTCAGTATACAGAAATAAGCGTAGCATGCCCATTTGCCCATGGTAATTGCTGCAACTTCCGTTAACCATCCAGTTCTTCTCAGGAAGTACAAACAGGAATTGTTGAAACGCTTTTTGGTAAAGTAAATTGGTTCACTATTTGATCTGAAAAATAACTTAAATAATGCAAGGACAAAGAAATTTGCAGAATAAAATGAGCTCATTTTACTTCATGATCTTTCATCAGCTGCAAACAGTATTAGTAGTAATTTTGGCATAATTAACCTTTCTTTACCTTGGTAACGACAATTTTTTTTACACGTGTTTGTATGTGGTCTCCCTTTTCTTTAGGTTGCATCATCTAATTAATCACTTACTGACTGTTAACTACTTTACCATTTTCCAGTTTGTCATGTAATCACGTGACGTGTTGGCTCCTAAACAATGTCTTCTCTTACACTGATTCTAGTTTGTTGTCTCCACCCCACTCCACAGCTCCAGAATTTTCTGTCTCATAAGATATAGAGTCATAGATTTTGACTAAGATTTGCAATGATTATTCCTGTTTACCTGACCCACTACCTTGCTTTTTATCTTAGATTTCAACGCAACATTTATTTCTACATATTTGAATTATGTTATACCACTATTAATACCAATACTTCATTTCATTTGTATGCTATTTGCAGCTGATAAAAGGCCATGGAGTCAAATAAGTTCATTTTATTCTGCAAATAGACACTGACAGTTCGCGTTAGTCTATGCGATGATGTTCCATCACATAGTACATTTAAGATAAATTTAATAAAGTACTTAAATCGCTGCTTGGATCTCAGTACACTATTATGAAGTCTAGGCGTACACCGCAGTAGAAATGAGCTAAGACAAAATACATGTCTCTTCTGAGTTAGACTAAGGGAACCATTGACCACTAATTCTTACTGTTCAAACTTTTTCCGACATATGTGCTTCATATCTAAAAAATGTTCCTCTTGATTAAACGTTATGTTGTGAATTAAGTCGTGTTTCATGTCCAAAGCAGTCATAGAAACTTTTGAGGCTTTACAGAGACTAACAAAGTTCTCGTTCTATTTGAAGTCTTAAAAAATGATACCGTCCCTTTTACTGCGATCTTATGACCATTGCTCCCAATGATTACTGAATCCTTTGTACTTAGAAACTGAGGGTGTTGGCATATCAATATTTGTTTAGTCATAGTCTACTGCACTCAACACTAGTGTAAAATTTGGGAACTGTTGTGGGGTGTAATTCCATATTTTGAGATATAGCATACATATATACAGTATTATCCACTTGATGTCGTTTCGAGCATTAATTATTGCTCGTAATCGTATCAATCTGATATTGATATCATTTATACTGGGTGATGGTTGGTCCGGCTACGCTCCAAATTTTCATTTCGCGGTCAATGATCACCCACAAATTCCCCAGTTTCTGTTTGACCAGCCAGTCGTAACCACTAGACGTAGCTCCCCAAGTCCTAACGTTATCTGTAAATATAAAGCAAACTTGTATGGCATCTGTGGGTACTTCACTGATAATTTCGGGAGAAAGCATCGAATCTCACCTTATTATACGCCACTTTTCAATGGTTTTTTAAATAAGGGTAATACCTCATCATTCCTGACACTATTTCCTGTCAGTGAGGAAGTTCTGTCATTCTGTCAATCAGTTCCTAAACTACCTACCTTCACCATGATTCCTGAGTAAGAAACCTTAATAAAGGATCTGTCTTTAAATACTACATCAACGAGCACATTTACATCGATGGATACAGCCTGTTCTGCTTTTGCTAGGACTATTTTCTTCGGGCATGTGACCAGTTCTATAACTATGCTACTTCTTAGTGAAAAATCCTATTCGCTTCGAAGTACTTTAGAACCATTATAGAATATCTTTTCCACCTTGGTGATTATACTGGTGAGAAAAAGTTTATATAACTTCAGTCGCCACCTTTTACATATCTTTACAGTGACTTGATATAGCCTGTTATATTTGTGTGCGCTTGTATAATAACCTTCAGATTCTCCTCTAATGGTCTCTCGCTTCCTCCGTAATGGAAAACGGCGGTAATATAACAGGTGTGTATTTACAACGGCAACGTCAAACAACGTATACAGATTACAAGATTTGTATATATCACAGTGGCCTTGGCTATTTCCAGGCCTTTTTAGATTTAACTCCTATCGGTTTTTTGTCTCTCCAACCAACCTTACATTTTTACGTTGATTCACATTTTTTATCGAAACTTCGAAGCAAAGCGATTGTTTGAGAAAGGTTTTAGGCGTCTGTGGTTTATGAAGATTTTGTCAATCTTTCTGCATACAATAACAGAAGTGAACCATAGTCGGTCTCTAAATGTTTAAAGCATGATATAATTGTTGGTGGTCTAAGTAATCACACTCCACATCGTCGCATCAACGGCAAAACAGAAAGATAAATCAATAAAAATCTAACTGAAATATGTAAAAGGGTATGGAAATAACAGGTGGTAAGCAAGGTAAAGATATATCTTAATAAAACTTATAAGGCTCGAAGACAAGGTTAAGAAACTTTAGTGTCAGCGCGAACTGCTCATATTTTTTTGTCTGTTATTCAAGTTTGTCTTACACCCCTTTCCAAAGTTGACCAGGTTCTACTTATCTTATCCTGAAGATGTGACTCATTGACTTCAAATCCATCCCACTATTTTGATTTGGGCAACTTATAGTAGTAGTGTTACGCATAGGTTAAACATTTGCTGGCCTCCTGGATTTTAATTGCACTTAGCGGAAATTCCTCTAGGAGTCATACAATACTTGAAAGACAATCCTACTGAGAGTAAAGGTTCTTAAATTCACTTTTACAAACTGTTTGAGTGAAGAGTGTGTGATATGAAGCATGTGCTTCAAGTTTGATGTTTCGTTTCATGGTTTTGCAAACAAAGTGACCAAACTGGTGACCCACCGATTGAGAGTTAACTGCCTAAACCAGTCAGCTGTAGCGGCTATTTAAATGTTGGTAAATGGAAGTAGATGTCAGACATGTCAAACTTTTTTAGTAAGGCTTAAGGCACAAGGATTATAATACTCAACCCTTTAAACCGTTTTAGGCTTCGCAAACGGAAACCCAAGTATCTCCTATCTTATTCAAATTAGACGCCTCCACATCACAGTTCAGATTAACAAGCAAAGAATTTTCTGTTTACAACCAAATATTGTCCTAACTTCCTTGAAATTCGTCTATCGTTGTCACAGACAATTAAGAGGTATACACAGTTGATAAAGTAATCATCTCAGTTTAATAACTCACATTTAACCTAGTTCTAATAGATTCCGTAATTGGGGTTTGTCGTTTATTTACGATATTCATATATAGTCTGTATGCTGAACAGTAGGTCACACTAGATAGAATAAGTGGTTTTTCTAAGTACCTTGGATTACTGTTTGAAGTATTGATTAATTTGAAAGATTTGAGTGCAAACTTGTTAAATATAAATCGTTTTGGTACCGATTTTTACAAAATCCATATCGTGCATTGTGCATTTTCTGCTTTCCCACTTACTGGGATTATCACTACCTAAACTGATCTACTGTTCGTTGGGAATAATATTGACGTCTCAGGAACGTCTCGCATGTTAGATTTTGGAAAGGATGTATGTTGAGATGACTGCAAACAAGGATGGACCTCGGATTGTCCGAACTTTTTCAGTTACAACTTCGATTATTAGGTCTCATTTCTTTTCAACATAGAATTTACTGATGTGTCTGCATAAGGCCTAAAGGATAACAAAATAATTGTTTCACAACATCAAGTGCGAAAAATGTAGCATACATATACGTATTTATTGCATCACGGTTGACTACTCTTCATGTTCAGAGATAAGACCCAGACCTTTCGTGTGATATGTATTGTGTAGTCAGTAATACATACCCAACTATCATATTAAAACAATTGTACACAGTTTATAGGATTTTCACTTAACGTATACGTAGAATTCTAATGAGAAGGGAATTTAACTTTGTGAACGCGAATATAAGGTTGGTTTTAAATGGTCTGAAATATTCGACAGCTTTAACTACTGTTGCCAAGCTCCTATTAGCTATGGACGTCTCATTTCATTGAATGCTGAAGGAAGCAGTAAATTCCCTTCAAAAATGCTTACATTTCTAGGGACTTTCCTTCGCTGAGGATGCAGCAGGCATCTACAGGTTTCATTTTAAAGTGGTATTAGAGTATATAACAGTGTGTTGCTCGGTTCTCCATATTCCTCCATGCTTATCGGCAAGTAGAACTCGTTTTCAGCAATTATGGTTGAGATGGTTGTTTTAGGTACTGTCGAACTTCATATTGGTGGAAAAAGTTCAACATAACAAGTACCACAGTAAAACAGGGATAATCACTTATGGCTCAAGTTTTATACGTAGCCAAGAGACCAGTAGCATCTCTTATTTGATTTGCTTCATGGTTTTCAAACCGACTTAGAAATTAGGGTTGCACAAATATTTTAATATCAGATAAGATCTTCATCATATTATTGATACTAATGTTTACAAAGTTATTATTTGAGAAATTAAAAGTCAATATTTAAGTTGAATAAAATTTGTGGTTGTGGCTTTGATGTTTCTGAGATTTAAAAACGTTTGGGTTTACACCTGTAATCTTCAGTCTTTGTAACAGAATTAAACTGTCCACTAGTTTTTAAAATGTGAAACGTTGAGGTTACAGAAGTGCGTCTGAAATGTCGTAGTGACCAACTTATGTGAACTGAATTCTGATGAATGTAGTTACATTTCTTTCCTGCACTCCTCAAACTCTCTACAACACTATTATTTATATAAAGAATTATCTATTTTTCTTGTTTATAATATCTCTACTCTCAAAACAGTTAGCTTCGATGGCTGTTGTCGGTTTAAATCTACAGAAAATCCAATCAGTTATACAGGAATGTGTGGAACGAGATATCAAACGCACTAAAATTAGTAATGAGAACGTCACATATACGCGTGTATCTCCAACTGTCATTACGAATAAACAAATCCCTGAGGAAGGAGAAGAAGTAGAGGAGTTATTTGAAGAGATTCAAGATTCTCTATATGTCTCAACGGGTCCATGTTCTGATACTGATCAAATGACAATATCAAACGAAACTTTGATTAGAAACGCCTCCATAGATAATGAACTGAGTCATTTAATGCAAATCTGCAAGAGTTCTGCAGCTTATAATAAATATTTGGAATTCAGAAGTAAATTGCCTGCCTATCAGATAAAAGAAGTAAGAATATAATGTCACTATTGTTTTTCAAATGAAATCTTGTAACGACCAGCTGTTGATACGTTTTCGTCTAGGCTGTAGGCAGGTAGGTACGTTGTTGCAAGGGCGGGTAGAGCAGTGTGAGTTTAGTGGTGGCTATGAGAATCTGGAATGGTAAATAGAAGAAAAAGGTGAGCCGAGGACTCAGCAGGTACACAGGATGTACTTACATTTAATAATAGAAGATAACTGACAAACGGTAGAGCTTGACAACGAAGTGAGGCAGTCTAGAAATCGAACGTGAAACATGAATGAGTAAGATTTCGAATGCGTTACAATCTCACAGCCATAACTGAAGTTGACCCTACTGTAACTCGTTTTTTGTGATGAATTATTTCATCCCATGATACCAGGTAACCACCGCCGAATAGTATAAAACTTTACTGTGTGAAATAGATGTTTGGAACGAACTGGATATTGTGCATGCTCAGTTGGGAGGTAGACCAGTAACTAACTGATCTATCCCAGACTGAAGCTATTAATTATGGTCGTAGCGTCGATTGACACGAGATATTGGTTTAAATATTGGTAAGTAGAGATGATAATACCGAAGTGTTATGGGGTTGCTAAAAATTCTTTCCAGTATTCCTGAAATATCTTTCAGAATAAAGCTATTGTTATTATTACCATGTGTAAACTGTTTTGTATTCAGTGGGAGACTTCAAAAGTCGGGATTGAATTGAAGCTGAGGTACGCTTAATATTTATCGATCATGTAACTGTCTTCAGAAACTGGAAAACTAGCACCAATGTATTTACTTCATGACTGACTCCCCGCAGCACCAGCTAGTAAACTGAGTGGTAACTGGATTAGCTAACAAGTCGTAAGTGCTCAGCACTGATCAAAGTCTGTTCTTCAAGTCTAAAATGTGATGCTTAAACTCAGTTTTACGACACTTTTGATGCTAAGCAGTGTGAGTTAACCGGAAAGAAGTCCTGGACAATGTACCTTTTGTTTTTAGGAAGCCTGTACTGTCCTCAGTACTTAAAACACCAGTTTAAATTGCATGCTAGGTGATAGGCATTTCTAAGCATTAAACCTGTAATGTTTACGACCACAACAAAAGAAAACATTACCAGTCATTGGTAGAAAATTTTCCATAGTATGAAAAGACCGGAGATGCAGCGTGCTTTGCAGTTTCTTATTTTCCTTTTGAAGTGTGTTGTCTTTCAAATCAAAATTCAGAATTTGAAGTCGTGTTGTAACACAGTCTATGTTGAAAAACAAATACCTAAGTTAACATTTTACCAATTCATAACTAACAAGTGAGGAAAGTCTTATGTCACTTTGGAAGATAAATGAGCAGGTGTTTTTCATTAGCTCAGGTACTTGGATCGTAGGTCGAACATTATTTTCTGTCTCATAGGATTTTATGTTATGCAGTTGACTTAATTGTTTTGTGCGTATGCAGTATTTAGAGTTGAATTGTAATTATGCTTCCTTACAGCAAGCGAAGTCATTACGTTATGCCCTTTTAATTAATCTTATTCGATTTTCCAACATGATTACGTTTTATGTTTACCTTCAGAAAGTAACTTTGTTTTCTCAGGGAATTGGCTAAAAGTAAAATACGCTGGGATAGCGTATTGAATTCTAATTAAGAAGTACAATTTTATGCATTCTTAACAATCTGTATTTAATCTAGGATATTGTTTCAACTGTACAAGACAATCAAGTTGTAATTATAAGTGGTGAAACAGGTTGTGGAAAGACTACTCAAGTTCCACAATTTATCTTGGAGGACCGGGTGTCAAAGGGAAATGGATCGGTTACGCGCATTGTTGTCACACAACCACGACGTATCAGCGCTATTTCAGTTGCTGAACGTGTTGCGGCTGAAAGGGGTCAATCTATAGGATCTTCTGTTGGTTATCAGGTTCGTCTAGAACGTAGATATCCTCAACGCCCTCATGGCTCAATTTTGTTCTGTACAACAGGGATTGTTTTGCAGTGGTTTCGTTCTGATCCACTTTTAAAGGTAATTGGGAACTCATTAATTTTGATGTATCAATTTGTGCGGATGAAATTCCACAATAGCTTGTCTCACGCATGATTGATCTTTTTTCGCTTGGATTTTCATCCAGCGATTTCTGTAGATTTCAGGCCATCGTTTTATAAACGGAATGACTGCCTTATATCGATCTTCTTGTTTTCATTATACTTTGATTTAATATTCAGTAGTGATCAATACTTATATGTTCAGTAACATCAATTATGAGGCCAAGTTTTATGTTACGCTGAGAGTATAATACGAAATAATTTAAGAACTTTGCATATGATTCATTAACGATTCTACCCAGACACCTGTATATTGTATCTAGTCGTGTAATCAAGACGAACCTTCTTCGTTTTCTTGGTACGTGTACGACCTTTTTTACAATGACTGGTTTATTGTAAATTGGATCTCAGTAAGTTAAACTCACATTTGCCCAATCCTTTGGGGTAATAGTAAGATCGAAGTATTAAAAACATCCCACGTTTACATATGTCTGATTTTACCATCATAATGTTTTGAATGACAAGTTTTTAAACAATATTAGCTACTAAAAACTGGTTACGTTACCCTTTTCAAAAACTATTTGCCGTTGACTATTGATCATTTACGTTTCAACGTATTTGTGCTTAGGTAAATGTGTTGTTCACATGAACAAGGTCAGTCAACGCACAGTTACTTGGTTCTGCTGAACTTTCATACACTTTGTAACTTCAAACCTCATCACTGGGTTTTTATACAGTTGGAAAGACTAGATGACTGAAACTGTTTGTTTCACTCCAGTAGCTAATTTGATACGTGATGACTCCTTAGCTTCAAATGAAACTTTAGTCTTTTTATGTACATAGTTTATCTCCTTGAACAAATCACCTATTCTCTTCAAAGTCATCTGATTACTTTGACTTGCTAAATCAAATATGAACGTAAAATCAAACAGACATCACTATGATCTATTAAGAAACTGCCGATGTTCGACGAATGAGTTCAGATGGTTTTATTTCCAGCTGTTGTGCACCTCAGTCAATTATACCCATTAAATTTGTATTTCATGACGTCTTATCACTAACAGACATGAAATATCCCTCAAGTAGTTATAAATTCTTTACAAGATTCCGATTTTGGTGTTCCTCTTAGTCGTCGGTTTCACATTCCAAAAGTAGAAAATAAAACTACTTCTATCCAGTTTTCAATGCATCTGTTGGTTGCTATCTGCACTGTAGACTTATGCGTTGTTAAATTCAGTCGTTTCGAGACATCGCCATAGTATTAATACCACTGGCATAACTCGTTCTCATGACACCACCTTTACGTCTGATTTTGTGTTCTTTGTGTGCCTTGCTGGCTCTTAACATTGTTTGTTTCAAAGGCGATTTGTTAAAGGCATTTCGAATTCAGTTTCTATAAAATGTTCCAAGTTATTTTCATAGGAATCAATGAAGTATGATATCTGGTATGCTTATTAATATCGTCTGCCTTCATGCGCAGTCTTGCCATGGCTTGATATTTTTATGCACTGCCTTTGCAGTCTTTTCTAAATAATAATATCCGTACTATTTACTATTAATAAGTCAAATGGGTAATCCTTTTTGTGTCGTCACCGTTCTCAGTTGGTGAGTCTTTCAGCTGAAGTCCATTCCGTATGAAATTGTTCTACAATGATTATTTTTCAAGCAACAAATTATGTGATGAAGCAAATGAACGATAGTTTTTAAATCCACATTACACCAAGTTGGGATATAGGCTTTTAAGAGAAAAAAGTCCAGTAAATTAAGTTTTAGTTTCAGTGCATCTTGTATGAAAAGTTATAGTCTCAAATTCGTCAGGAAATAAAGCGTGTAACTGTGCTTTCATTAAAGTACAATTCATTTGCAATGTATCATATTTTTAGTAATGAATAGATCACAAGTCACTTGATCATACCTAACTACTGTAGAATTATTCAGCCTGTATGCTTATTTGGCAGTTCTAAGGTTGTGGTGTAGTGGGCGTTGCTGATCCGAATGGATGTAAGTAGTATATGTTGAGAGGGTGGCTGAAATCATAGGGCATTACCAGCAATGAGTAGATATTCTGCCCAGAGAAACGCGAGACAATGTGGGCGTACTTAGAGGAAATGAAGATGAATGCTGAAGAGGAAATGAAGCACATTATGCAAGTGACTGTCTTAGTGGAAGGTGTACAATATTTAGTGACTATTGTACAAGATGTCAATAATAAGCATTCCTTCCTACGTCTCAGTCTTCTCGTTTCCTACAGTAGTAGTATGTTTAAAGATGCAAAATTGCAGGAATATATTAAATTTGTACATTCCTCAGTCTCTTATTATTCTGAAACATAGTTGACTTTCGTTTCTGTTGTATTCTACTTTTTTATAGAACGTAAGTCATATTATTGTTGATGAAGTTCACGAGCGGGAATTCCTTTGCGATTTTCTTCTATGTATGCTAAAACGAATCGCCCCTTTTCGTCCAGATCTTCGCATTATTCTTATGTCGGCAACAATCAATGCAGAAAGATTTTCGGAGTATTTTGGTTAGTATCGTCTTTTTAGTTTCCTGTTGTATTGAGTAAACTTGTAGAGGATTTCGTGTAACCTTTCCTAAGGAGGTCGTGTCCCCCCCGCCACTTTAAATTTTTTTCTTTTTTCTTTGAAAACAATCTGGCTACTTACTAACAAACAGTAGGCTAAGTTGATTTCAGAAAAATTTCGTTTTTGATTTCTTAAACATGCTTGGATTATATTAAAATTAACTTCGAGAAGTTAATTTCGCTTCAGTTTTCTTTCATTATTCATTATTTGTCATTCCTATCTTAGTAATTTTCGTGACTAGATTTTTGAATTAATTCCATTCCACCTTGCTGAGTTGTATTCGAAACAATTAGTCCCTTATATGAATTTGGACAATGTAATTAGAAGACGTAGATTATCTGAAAAAAATGTGATGTATTAACGCTATACATTTCGAACAATCTGATCACACATTTACTTGTTAAGGCATTATATATGAAAACTGGAAGTGGGGAAGGACAAATGTGACATAAAGGAATTCAATAATAAGAAAGATAATGAGAGGAATAAAGGATAAGATTTGAAGACAATCTTGGTAATACGATAAAATAAGGATTACCAAGGTAGGCTTAATGTAAGGACAAACTGTTTTTGCACACACAATGGGAGGTTAAATTTATTTATGGCTAGCGCCTCAACAAACTTAAGTATACGCCCCTGACAGTTTCTGTACAAAATTGTAAAGGCTGTTTTGATATCAATGCTGTGACTCTTATCAGTGGTATGTTTTGCAATGGATGATAATGGTTCCTTGCCATCTACCCTTATCAATGTTTGTGAATCCAGCTGCTTTCGTGGCCATTTTGGGACATGTTCCCCTACCCTCAAGTGCATATCACGATTAGTCCTTCCTATGTATGTTTATCCACACACGTAAATTTATAAACGCAGTGGGATGTGACGCAATCGTTTATACAGCCTTGAGGTCTAGGTTGCAGCAGGTATTTGGTCTTCTCAACTACGATAAGCTTAGCTGCATAGTACGTTTTGCTAACAGCAGGCCTTAACCTTCGTTTTAATATTGTGCTGTTAGATCCTCCTCTGTATGGTAACGCGATGTAAACGCATTTCTTCGAAACAGATTACAGATTAGGTTTGAATCCTTGCTGATTTTACAGCGGTTTATGAACTTCAATGGATATCCATTTTCCACTAATGTTCCCGATAGTATTTTGATATCATCATCCATTGAGTCTTCCCTACAAATACGCTGGATCCTTTTAAATAGGCAAGTTACCAAACCTTGCTTGTATTGGGTTGGACAAAAGCTATGGAGACTTAAATACTGACCTGTCCAAGTAGGTTTCCTGTAGATCAACCGTTTTATTGAACCGTCATTTCTACGATTTAGGAGTATATCCAAGAATGGCAGACGGTTTTCTTTCTCTTTTTCACATGTCAGGCTTATGTTGTTTACTACGTTGTTAAGTCTTTCTAACAAACATGTCGCATCTTCATGCTTATCACATATCACGATTAAATCATCAGCATATCTTTTGTAGAGAGTAACTTTATTGATGAGATCGCTGGTCAAGTCTTCAATGTTTGACATGTAAATATCATCTAGCAATGGTCCTAAGGGACTTCCCATAGCCATACCATTTATTTGTCGAAAATGTTCACCTTCAAATGTAAAATGAACTTTATCAGTACACAATAATAACAGCTCTCTCAAACACGTTGAGGGGATAGGGAAAGAAGGATTACTGGAAGATATATGATCAAAAAGAATGTCAATGGTTTTAATTAGGGGTACATTAGTGAATAAGGAGTTGACATCAAATGAATACAATCTCTTATCTTTGATATTGATATCACTGACATAATCAACGAGTTCAAAAGTATCTTTTAAAGAAAACTTACATAAATCATTTGGAACAGGAATTAAAGTTTTTGCTAGCCATTTCGCCACTTTATGTGTAGGTGAACGGAACATGGAGAGTATAGGACGTAAAGGATTATCTGTTTTATGAATTTTAGGCAATCCATACAGATTAGGTAGCTCAGACCCCATTGGTTTGAGGGAATCAAATTCTTCCTTGCTGATAACATTGATATTCAGGAGTTTTACCAGACTAGATGTTACTTTGCATTCTAATTTTCTGAGGTCGTCTGATGGAACATCAGCCATAAATTTACTTTCATCGCTAAGGATGGACATCTTGTTTTTGTAATCATATTTGCCCATCACAACCACACCCGACCCCTTATCGACTTTGAGAATGATTATATCTGATCTATTTCGAAGTCCTTTTAGGGCTTTGAAATGTTGTGAAGTTAGGATACTTCGCTATCTTGGGCCTAAACTATGGAACTGATGGGTAGTATCCACCAGCTTCAACCAACTCTGATTATCTGAGGAGGTTGGAACGAGGGGAAATAACTGGTCATAAAGACTTTCAAATTGAGCATCAATAGCCAAATCCGAAACTTTCGTGTGAGGAACCCAAAAACTGAATCCAAGGGAAAGTGCTTCCTTCTCACACGTTGAAAGTTGAATAGACGATACATTAATCACATATTTATTTGGATTGATTGGGAATGAGATAACATGAAACTCATTAGTACAAGATTTCGACAGCTTCTATTTTGTCTTCTCCTTCGATTTAATGATAACAGAACTACAGAAAATTAACGAACTTGATATGACAAAGTAATGAAATATCAGATCGTACACATGAAGAATGAACATGAAGTCCCAGTAATCTATTGAGAAGTGAGCGCCATAAAGCTACCGAAATGCGGAAAAGCAGCAGGGCCAGATGGAATCCTGCTAGAAGCATTGAGAACAGACGCAGAGACAACAGACGACATGCTCACACCACTACTGAAGAACGTCTGGAAGGAAGGGAAGGTACCTGGCGATTGGAAGTAGGACTATCTTGTCAAACTTTCGAAGAAGAGCGATCTAAGCCTTTGCAAAAGCTGGCGCCGAATCACGCAAAATATTATGCCGCATCATCCTGGAGAGACTAAACAATGTGCTGGATTCAAAATTACGACCGGAACAGGCTGGCTGGATTCAGGAAGTACAAATCATGTGGGGACCAAATTGTAGTGCTTCGCATCATCATAGAACAGAGTATAAAATGGCAGTCAACCGGAGCTTTACCTCAACTTCATCCACTTTGAAAAGGCCTCCGACAGCATCGACTGACAGCTGCTGCTTCAACACTACGGAATACCACAAACCTTTATCAATCTCATTCAACAGCTATATGCTATATGAGGATGCCACATGCCAAGTAATTCACAATGGGAAGCTCAGTGATGCTTTTGAAGTGAAGATAGGAGACAGGAGCAAGACAAGGCTGTCTACTATCACCCATGACATTCCTGATTGTAGTAGACTGGATCACGCAACAAACAGTGAGGAGCGAGAAGATGGACATACGCTGGACCACGGAAAAGAACCTAGAAGGTTTAGATTTTGTCGATGACTTATGTCTAATGTCTTGTGGCACAAACTCGAAGATCTACAGGCGAAAACTAACAAGTTGACAGAAGAGGCCGGGCAGCGAAGACGGGACTTCAAGTGAACGTAGAGAAGATAGGTGATGAAGATACCCAAGCAACAACAACAACAACAAGCTCCAATCACCATGAACGAGAGAAACTTAAAGGAAGTAGCCTCTTTCACCTATCTAGGAAGCACTGTTTCAACTACAGGCGCCACAGGCACAGACGAGAACGTAAAAGCCAGACAGGATCGGAAAAGCAAGACAGGTGTTCATTAACCTGAAACCAGTGTGGAGATCTTCTGCACTCACCATGTGGTACAAGATCCGGATTTTCAACACCAATTCAGTCAAGTCAGTGCTTCTGTATGGCTCAGAGACTTGGCGTATTACGAAAAGGGATTTCCAACAAACTACAGACATTCATCAACAGCTGTTGCCTACGCTGGCTCGTTACTGAAGCTCAGATGGCCAGAAATAATAAGCAACAAGGAACTCTGGCTGGCTGGCAACGAACCAACCGAGAACCTATCGCTCAACAAATATGCAGAAGGAAGTGGAGATGGATTGGGCATACACTGAGAAGGCCGACTGGGGACATCACGCGCCAGGTTAGGCCGTCGAGTGGAACCCAGATGGGAAGCGACGAGTTGGGCGTCCGAGGCGAGGGTGACATGGAAGAGATCGTGCGAGGAAGAAATGAGAGGTTGTAGGCTGTCGTGGAATCAGGTTTGAAAGTTTGCAGGGAACAGAGTCTACTGGAGATGTGCTACTGAAGCCGTATGTTCCATTAGGAACCCAAGGGACAAATAATAACATCATAATAATGTGTTGTTGGCTTATGACTTTTGTTTTTACAACGAGACCAGAATCTGTATATTTTGCAGATTCATATGAGCTTATTTACGCTGATATACTCTTGTGAGCACTTGAACAGTCGACTTCAGATTCTATCTTTTACGATTGTTAATTCGCTTCGGTATACAAAATGCGAGAAGACAGCAGATGTATTCTAACTATTTACTCTCTCTCTCTCCCATTAATATTATTGTATAGGTTATTTCCAGAATTTCCTTAAACAGTGTGGGTATGTGGTCGACTGGATTAGGGACTCACTTATTTAGCAAAACGTCCTAGGTTTGACTGTCACTCTGCCTACTATGGCCTCGGTAGTCGGGTAGCACCATAACCCCTTAAACAATAAACCTGGCGCTTAAACATATATCCAGTTGATTTAAATTTTAATTATTATTATTTCTAAAAGAGTATTTTCTATTAACTTTTTCGCCTTCAACGAGTTCGATATATACATATATGACCACATGTTTTTCTTGAAATTTCGGGTACATAGATTGATTATGAAAAAAACTTCAAGGATTTCGGGTGACAGCACAACGAAAAGTAAATGGGAACTCATGCCACCAGATAGGTTTTCCACGTAAATAATGTGATATCTAACCACACTGGGTGTTGAATTAGAGCCTGGACTACACTTGATTATTGCCAGCATAAATAGTGCGGAATGTCTTACACCGTATTATCGTCAGTAGTGAGCGCTTTGTTGAGTTATTCACTTTGCTTGGTTTCATCATTATCAAGTTCATTTTCTTCGGTTTGTTGGACACCCTAGTTTCAGTTTTTTAAGCAGTTGGAATTGCAATGTCTTTTTTCTAGAAAATAAATTGCTGTTAAAATTCAAATACCAATTTTACGTGATCATTTCTACCCTAGAAAAATTCATACTGAAATGATATTTCAATCAAGATTGTTATTCATTAGCAGATGAGATTTCTAATCAAATTATTCATACCACATGACAGGTAAATAGTGCATAGATTCCATGTATTTTTCGAGCAATCTGACTAATTCATTAAATCACTTGACGATACAACATGTATTTTTCAAGTTTTTTGTCACATTCACAGTCTCAGAAAGATGTCTTTTGTTTATTGTGGTCATGATAGACGTAGTGCTGAGTGAATCAATAATCGTTTTATATTAACCTAATCATGTTGTGATTGTTGTGTAACAGAAGTTTTAGGTCGAATGGGACATTAACATTTTCTGTCTAGGTATTTGTTGTTCCCTATCTAATGGTATTCTTGTGATTGTGGTTAACTCGTGTTTCGCATTGCATATGCACTATTATTATTTTAAGCTTAATGATTTGGAATTTCGTTAAACTTGGGATGCGCCTGTATTTAGGGAAAAAGTGATAACTGGCCTTAAAACAACCTCAAGTGCGTATCTCTGTGATTACCTTCAAACAATTTATCCTAATTACTTTAGTAGTTTCTGTAAAATGTAGAGTTCTGGTAACATCTGTAGCGATATATATATATATATATATATATATATATATATATATATATATATATATATATAACAAGTAACAGTAACAAGAAGCTTTAGAAACCTGGATAATAAAAAAAATATCTCAACTCGCTTAGTGTTCAAAATTCAAGCACATTCGAGTGCACATTCATTTGAACTCTTGAAAGTTGCACGTCTTTAAACGAATCATAAAAACAAAACAACCGTTCTCCAACTGATTCCCCCCCCCCCCATTTCAGATAATTGCCCGAAGTTTGAAATTCCTGGTAGAACTTTCCCCGTCAAAATATGTTACTTAGAAGATGTTTTAAAAGAAACCAAGTAAGCTTGTATTTCAGTATTGTTTTCATCAATAGTAATAATAATAATACTTATGGTTATGGTATTGGCATTGCAATAGATTTTTTGTTGGGATATTTTGCATTTTTTCATTTCGCACTGGACAGTAACCAATTTCATGTTCTCTCTCTCTCTAGCTTTAACTGGATTCTATGGATCATTTCGAAACGTGATCGCCATGGTAGCACGCACAACATCACTTTGATGTTAGTTAGTTGGGGCCACTGTGCAGAAACTCTTGGATCTAAATCGCATGCTTTCTGCCACTCATCAACTAAGCGTATCTGCAAAATGAAGGGAGTTGATAAACGTTTAGAGAGATTCAAAAAAGCCGATGTAATTTAGTGAACCTCCAAGACTAGACGGCATGAAATCTGTTACTGTCTATTGGTCAGTCAGTTTACTTAGTATAGTATACTTAGTAGTATCCCTAAGCCTCACACAATGTATGTGGTACATCGTCTACTGAACGGATGAGCCCAAGGTACTAGGTGACTGAGTGCGTTTTCTTCGTTCATACTGTCCATTATCATTTTGAATTTCATCTTTGTATGTATCTTTGCTTCATTCAGATTCTTGTCACTAGCTAAATGTTTGGGCTATAGGATCAAAAACTGATAAAAGCCAAACGTTCAGAGATAGTTGTTGTTGCAGGTGATTTCAGTGCTCAATTGAATAAGCCAAGCTAGACGGAAAGGCACTTCGGTAGCCCCTTAGGAACCCCAGCCGCACAGGGGTATAACGGGGATCATCTCGTTCAGCTTTGCTGAGATAATCATCTATTTCTCACCAGGCCGAACTTCAGAAACTGAGAGAGACATTGTCTGACGTGGTGTCCACCGACTTCAACTGAGCAGTGGGTACAGCCTGACCATATTACTCTCAGTTATCGCTGAAGAGGGTCGGTGGAGCACGTGTGTAGAAAGCGACCACGCGCTGGTTTGAGCGCGCGTATGTTTGCGCCTAAATGGACCATTGCAAGTGTTGCTTGACGGTGAAAATACTAAGGCTGGTTTCTGCAAGAAACTGGCTAGAGAGTTATCTGTGCAGAACAGTATCATTCGTGTAGAAGAAGTCCGGAGCCATCTCCAGTTTGCAGTAAAAACAGCGTTAATGCCCGTTGCTAACTCAAACAGCAGTTAAGAAAGGTCATTGGATTTCGCATCTTCTGAATTAGAGGATGCATGCGAACGCATTCCTGTGGGTTATGAGCACAATGAGGGGTGGGAGCAACCCAAATGTAGGCTGACAAGAAGTCTACTCACTGACCATGAACAGTGGTGGACGATGAAGGCCAAGGAGGTGAGGAAGGCAACGGTGTTAGGTAACAGTAGAAGGCTATATAAACTTGCCAAGGGAAGTAGTACAGAACGGTCAAAGGTTGATGAAACCATAGAAGAGAAGGATGGGCTTGTGGTTCATATGGAAGGGGAGACGACTGGAGCGATAAGTGGAACACTTCGAGAAACAGTTTAGCTGGCCTCCAGGTACTATTTTGTTGCCCACTAGCCAGTCGGAGCCTGAATGAAACGTCGAGATTAGAATCCCAATATTCGCAGATGTCGAGAAAGTGGTTGGTAACGTGAAACGAAAAAGAGCACCAGGGTCAAACGGACTCGTTCCAGAGGTATTCAAGGATGGTCGTCGAGAATTCTTAGTCAAAGTAACTGAAGTGTTAACTAGTATATAGAAATCAGTTATAATTCCCTCTTAGTGGTCCCAATCACTCGTTGTTCCAGTTCTCAAGAAACACGAGAACTCCTGTGATAACCACATAGGAATCAGCCTGACGAAGATCGTGTCTAAGATTCTAGGTTCCATAATCATTGAACGCCTGAGTGGTACTTGGGAACAGCAAGCGCTAAGAAAACCAGGCAGACTTCAGACCTGGCCGTGACTGTATTGACCAGACATTCACACGCCCCAGGTTCAGGAACACAGGGACACTTACTGACGCCCGACACTGGCTACATTCTTCGACCTGAAAGTGGCATTCGCCTTCGTTGATCGAGAGATCTTATGGCAAGGTCTCCCACAGGAACGAGTGCCGAATAAATACATTACTCTGTTGAAGGCTGTGTACACGGACACCCATGGTGGTGATGGAGCCTTAGGTAAGTTGTGTACTTCAGGTGGTGTCTATCAAGGATAACCCTTCTCCACATTCTTTTTCAACTTTGTTCTGGATGAACTTTTGGAAGTCTCACTCTCATCGACTAACTTCATAGTGATTGACCTTATCACAGGACAATCCTAGAGTACGGAGATGACATAGTCGTGTTATGTGAAGGCCCTGACAAGTTGCAATGTCTTCTGGACACCTGGAGTGGCAATTTGAGGATATCTGGGATGCGTTTCCCGCAACCAAAATGCAACTTAATACTCCAGGACTGATTTTCAGTGGTGCTCTGTCTATTAGTAAGGAACACGTTGGTCAGTTCACTTACCTGGGAAGTTGTATCAACCCTGGTGGCTCAGTGGCCGACAAAATCTCTATACGGATACCAGAGACTTGACTAGCTTTTCCTATTTGTGATATCAAATTGTCTAATAACAGTCAAGTGTTATGCGCTGCAGTTCGCTGTGTTCTACTGTATGGCTATAAAACATGACCATTAAAAGTAGACAACCTCGCCTGGTTAACTAGTTTACTAGTTACTAGCCGGTCCTAAGCCCGGGTAAAGAGGGAAGGTTGGGCATAGGGCTAGCAACCCTACCCCGTAAAACAAATCTAACCGCTAAAGAAACTTCAAAGCACAAACAAAATATAAAAAATGAAAACAAACTTATACCCCGCTGGAATCGGAGAGGCGAAATGACGCCAGTTGGTGAAAGCCTTCGGGAAGCCAATTGGCCGATGTGTCTTCTCTCGATGAAAGCGAAAGTAAACGTGGGGACATGGAATGTCCGCACGATGTTTGAACCCAGTAAGGCAGCCCAGATTGCAAAGGAGATGAGAAGGTATAACATCGAAGTGCTTGGGATTTGCGAAAGCAGATGGAATGGGAGTGGACTCTCCAAACTGTCAACTGGAGAATCAATAATCTACTCCGGTCACCCAGACGCCAACCACGAGCACACTGAGGGAGTGGCTATCATGATGTCCTCAAGAGCATCGAAGGCTCTCATGCAGTGGGAACCAATCTCCTCCAGGATCATGACAGCAAGGTTCAACTCAAAAGGAAGAAAGGTCACAATCATACAATGTTATGCACCTACAAATAATGCAGAGCAAGAGAAAAAGGAGGATTTCTACAGACAACTTCAATCAACACTGGACAAGACGTCAGTTGGCGATATCAAAATTCTAATGGGCGACATGAATGCCAAACTGGGAGGGGACAATACGGGAAGAGAACTAACCATGGGTCGAGAGGCGCTAGGTGAAATGAATGAGAATGGAGAATTGTTTGCAGAATTCTGTGCATTCAACGATTTGGTGATTGGAGGCAGTGTGTTCAGGCACAAGGATATCCACAAAGCGACATGGACTTCACCAGATGGACACACTAAAAATCAAATCGACTTTATCTCAATCTCAAGAAAATGGAGACGCAGTCTACTTAACACAAGGTCAAGAAGAGGAGCAGATGTAGGTTCAGACCACTATCTAGTGCAAGGAACCTTCCAAATCAAGTTAAAAGCCTTCAAGGAAGCTGGTGATAGACCTCAATTCAAGTACAACACTCGGAAACTGAAGGATGAAACTACAAAGGAGATCTTCAAAGCAGCCATCAAGACAAAATGGGAGACGTCGAGGGACATCCCTGAAGAAACCTGTGTGGAAGAACACTGGAAGTCTTTGAAAGCTGTGTGGAAAGAAACCTGCACAACAGTATTAGGAAGAAAGAAGACAAGGAATGGATCTCGACGGATACCTGGAAGCTGATAGAGGAGAGGAGGATGGTGAAGCAGAAGATAAACCAGTGCAAGGATGCTCAACGACAAGAGGAACTGAGCACAATGTATAAAACACTGGACAAAGAAGTGAAGAAGAGTGCACGCAAAGACAAAAGACACTTCTACGAAACACTGGCAAGTGAAGCAGAACAGGCTGCAGGTAAGAGAGACCTGACGACATTGTATCAAATAACCAGGTTGCTATCAGGGAAGAGACCAACACAGATGAAACCAATAAAAGATGAAGAAGGAAATTTAATTACAAAAGAAGAGAAACAGAGGAAACGATGGGCCGACCACTTCAAGAAGCTCTTGAATCGACCACCACCTGCACTTCGTCCAGAAATACCACCTGCAGCCGCTGAATTACAAGTGAACATAAATCCCCCAACGAAAATGGAAGTCCTGAACGCCATAAAGCTACTGAAATGCGGGAAAGCAGCAGGACCAGATGGAATACCGCCAGAAGCACTGAGAACAGATGCAGAGACAACAGCGGACATGCTCACACCACTATTGCAGAAGGTGTGGAAGGAAGAGAAGGTACCTGACGATTGGAAGAAGGGTTACCTTGTCAAACTGCCGAAGAAGGGAGACCTCAGTGCTTGCAAGAACTGGCGAGGAATCACTCTCCTGTCCACCCCAAGTAAAATATTAAGCCGCATCATCCTGGAGAGGCTTAAAGACGCACTGGATTCAAAACTGCGACCGGAACAGGCAGGCTTCAGGAAGTACAAATCATGTGCTGACCAAATTGCAACGCTTCGTATCATCATAGAACAGAGCGTAGAATGGCAATCAGCTCTATACCTCAACTTCATCGACTTTGAGAAGGCCTTTGACAGCGTCGACCGAGAAGTAATTTGGAAACTGCTTCAATACTACGGAGTACCGCAAACCTTTATCCGCCTCATTCAACAACTATATGAAGATGCCACATGCCAAGTAATCCACAATGGGAAGCTCAGTGATGCCTTTGAAGTGAAGACAGGAGTGAAACAAGGTTGCCTACTATCCCCCATGATATTCCTTATTGTGGTGGACTGGATCATGCAGCAAACAGTAGGCAGCGAGAAGAGGGGGATACACTGGACGACGGAAAAGAACCTAGAAGACTTGGATTTCGCCGATGACTTGTGCCTAATGTCACATAAACTTGAAGATCTGCAGGCAAAAACTAACAAGTTGACAGAAGAGGCAGCTAAGACGGGACTTCAGGTGAATATAGAGAAGACAGAAGTGATGAAGATACCGCACCACCACCATCAACAACAACAACAAACTCCAATCACCGTCAACGGGAGAAACTTGAAGGAAGTAACCTCCTTCACTTATCTAGGAAGCACTGTTTCAACTACAGGCGGGACGGACGAGGACGTCAAAGTCAGAATCGGAAAAGCAAGACAGGCGTTCATTAGCCTGAAACCAGTGTGGAGATCTTCTGCACTCAGCATGCGGAACAAGATACGGATTTTCAACACCAACGTCAAGTCAGTGCTCTTGTATGGCTCAGAGACTTGGCGCGTCACGAAAGGTATTTCCAATAAACTACAGACATTCATCAACAACTGCTTACGCTCGCTGCTGAAGATCAGATGGCCAGAAAAAATAAGCAACAAGGAACTCTGGGAACGAAGCAACCAAGAACCTATCACGCAACAAATATGCAGGAAGAAGTGGAGATGGATTGGGCATGCACTGAGAAGGCCGACTGAGGACATCACGCGTCAGGCCCTCGAGTGGAATCCCTATGGGAAGCGACGAGTTGGACGTCCGAGGGTGACATGGAGGAGGTCATGCGAGGAGGAAATGAGAGCTTCTGGGCTGTCGTGGAACCAGGTTCAAAAGATCTCAGAGAACAGAGGTCACTGGAGGCGTGCTACTGAAGCCCTATGTTCCACTCGGAACCCAAGGGACTAATAATAATAATAATAATAATTAAAAGTAGACATGGAAAGGCTTCACGTTTTCGATTACGGTTGCCTTCGTAGCACAGGCCGTGGTTCCATCACGTCATTGATGCAGAAGTCGGGTGTGAAGTTTCAGACAGATGAGAAAATTCATTTAATGATGTTGTGATTCTTCATTAACTCAGGTGGCTGGGACGTGTGTCACGCATGCCTAGTCAGCCTATGCCCCGTCGCACAATGTTGGCAGAGGTAGATTTAGGTTCAAAACAGGTTCGAGGTGACCAGATTAAAACATGGCATCAGTGCACAGATTCTTTGTCTGTTGATCTGAGCTGTGTAAGGAAATGCATACTAACCGGTTGGGGTCCGTGTGCCAACGGGAACCTGTGATTTGTGACTGTGAGTAACATGGCTCAATAAATCTCAGTGGTGCTGGTTTATCCATGCGTTATCCTCATCGTAATCGTCATACTGAACCCAATATTTTCTTATTACTCTTTATTTTGAAACCACTTTCTACCAGTTTTGACTGCTTTCTCGATTTCATTTGCTCACATCTTAGTGCTATGTTGCGTGGCGTACTGACATAAGGTGTGGCAACGTGGACCTCTATGCAGTAATGCCAGGTCCTATGTTGGCCTTGTTTGTCTTTCTTTATGTATCATTTTAAGCCATGAAACAGTTGCTTTCCGAAAGTTTCTCTTTAAGTCAGATATCTGATACAAATATTTTGAAACTGCGCACTGGCCATTTTCATCTTTCGAACTTTGATGCAGTTTTGGCAGGATACAGATTTAAGTAGTACTCTGGAAAGCCTCTGTTGTCTCAGAGACTCCATTGAGCTGAAATTGAACTGGTCGATTGGATCCTTACCAAAAGTCAACTGTTTGCTGCCAGGCCAGAAGGTTTGATCTCAGTGAGGAATAAATGGCTAGAAAAACGATGTCTTTTCGTCATCCCTGCCTATACCTCCTGCTAACTGCAATCCAGATGCAGTTAAGAATGAGTTTTACCACCAACTAATTGTTCTCTATCAGATGCACTCGTCAGATATCGTAGTACCATCCTACTACTACAGCAACGCCAACCTCAATGTCTCAGGTCACATAAATGACACCAAACCACTTAACACGGCAAAAGTCAGTAAGCGACTCCAAGTTCTAAATCGCCGTAAGGCATACAGTCTAGATAACAGACTCCCAGCTCTTTATGGACGAAGGTGAAACAGTTGTCAGGAAACTGCACACATTGTTTATAAAGATAATTATGCTGTTTACTTCGCGCCTTCGAGTTGCAAAGTGCTTCAGCAGGATTGGAAGTAAACTGCACGTATGATCGCTCTTGGTGGTAAATAGCCACAAGTTGGCGAAACGTTTGAGTACGTGGGTAGTTGTGTGGGTGTTTGTAGAGGTGTGAGTGGTGAGATTTTCAACTGCATGTCGCAAGACAGAGTGGCATATGACAATCTGGGCCACCTTTGGCACCGTCGCAATGTTAACATTGCTGTAAAAGGTGGGGGGTCGATGCTGATAGTTGTACCTTTTGCCTGTGGAAACCTGGTCTCCTGGTTCTCTCAAGTTTTTGTTCTCGAGCTTCAGATAGGCCTTGGATATCTATGGATTCTAGTATCTCGGATACGATGCTAGTCAAACCGATTCCCCTTTGGTTGTCACTAGAATACTTCAGTCCCTTTCTGTAGATCGAAATAATTAACGGTGTTTACTAATTTAGTGGTGATACCTGTAACTCCTATACACTACCTACTACTTTTATTACCCTACTCAGTAATTTTCTACGTCCATCTTTTAAAACTTGTGGTAGTAAATCGTAAGGTCTTGTTACTTTTTATGGTTTCAGCTTGGAAATAGCCTTCTCAATTTGAAGGAGAGTTGGAAGACTGACTTACGCATCCAATTTAGGTTTGGGCAAGTTTGTGTTTAAGATCGATCTGCATTTAAAGTACGTGGAAGCAAAAAAAGTGTATGAAGTTATTAACTGACTCCCTGTGACAAGTTGATCAACCTAGCCTTTAGTTCGAACAAATGCTTACTGACTATTCAAGACATATACCAATATGTAAGGTCTACTTGTCTGATTAGGTTTTAACCCAGTATTCCGACGTATGACGGTTAAATGGTTATTCTACCTCTGGTGCTATCGTGAAGTTAATTTTGCTGTAAAAGGCAAGGCATACAACGCATCAATGCTGGCAGTTCCCTTTGCCTGTGGAAACCTGGTCTCCAAGCTTAGGATGCCCAACAACTGTGTTTTCGATCACCATTATTGCCTCAGGATTGCTCGTATCCGGTAGAAACCCCATGCAAGTTATTTTAAGATGAGGTGGCGTGTATTTGGTTGTGACGTATTTTGTCGTTGACTGAGTATGGTCATGTTGAAACACTGGCTTTTTTGCCTCGGACATGCGTTACTCGTGCTGTGCCAGCAGCACACACATCATTCTCTTGTCTTGGGACTTTTTGGAGGACTAGAGAGAGGTGGTCAGTGTATGTATATGACTTGGCACCGTGGAATGTGAGATGGTTATGTTAGTATAGCGTCTTATGGACTCTGTGGACGGGTTTCGCGAGATGATACAACTTAGTGTTCTGAGTAATAGGGTTTTGGCTCACTAATTTTGACATTTACTATTCAACCAGTGAGTAATGAGTTCGAACCACGTTCCACCTACTGAGGTCTGGGCAGCCAGGTAGTATCAGCCCTCACTCAATAGGTGTGGCCCATTTCCTTGGGCACGGGTGTTCACGTGGTTACTGTATGCATTTCGATTTTTCGTGGTTTGGGACAATAGTGTATCGAGGATAGCCAAAATTTAAAAAATGCCTGGTCTCATTGCTAATTTCCTCACACTCTTTATTTGTATACGATATCACCTGGTTTGAAATTATATCAAGCTAAAGTGGCTCAGTTTTTCGATGTTCCTTGTATTATCGCGTCGTTAGTGGGACCGAGCTAATCGGTCTCCGTTGGCATATGGGCTCCTATGTGGATGCCTCGATATTTTCTGTATTTACAATTTTAATATCAACAATGGAAAGTGGCTATGAGTGGAATCCGGGACGCGTGTTTCCTACCATTTAAGACTCGTCGCACAAGAAGTGACTGTCGTGACTCGATGGCCTAGTGGATAACGGTCTGAAGTCTGAAGCGTTGGGTCCCGGGCTCAAGTCTTAGTAGGAACAACATCGCTCACAGGGAGGTGGGTGCATCCAGCTGACGAGTCCTAAATGGGATGAAACGCGCGTCTCGGATTCCGCTGCTGGTTACCCTCCATCGGTGATTGAATTTCTGCTCACCTCTAAACTAATACGTTGTGATATTCATTTTTCTCTCCCTGTGATTGAATATTCCACTCAGCTTCTGGTTGCCAAATAACGCAATAGCTACATTGAGTCGTGACCAGTCACGTACAACAAAACAGCACCTTTTAAAGTCCAATATTTCCAGGAAAGAGGCTAGTATACTGTCCTATGGAAAAAGTTCTGAATTCAATCGATGGTTGAAATCTGTATCTGGGTAAGTTCATTAAAAAAGAATATATATTCCAATAGTTTTACTTGTTTTCTAATAACTCTTCGTTATCTGAACGTAGCATTAGTTTTTATTAGGATTAAGTTTCTTATTTGTTATCTTCTCCAAACCAAATCTACGAAAAGAGCAGTTGTCTTTCATCTTCTCCAACGAAGGTGAATAACAGTTTGACAATTGTTTATTGTTAGGTTGATATTGTAAAATGAGAGAAATTCTCACCCAATGCCTTAAGTTAATATTGACCAGGAAAGAGTGATTGTCAAGGCAACATTGTAGCATGCGATGCCTTTTCGCCTGCTTCAACCATTTTAATGTAAGTATTGAAGTAATTTGTTCGTACGAATACACTCGGACATTTGGCATTTTATAATGAGATTGACATTTTCCGTAGAACTCTGGATACCCGAAATGGAGCGTCGTTGAACGTGTCGACCGTTTCATATAAAACCTAGATCAGCCCCGATGGGTCAGTGATCGACAAAATGTCTGCATATTAACAAAAGACACCATTTGCTTAACCAATTTATTCCATCTATGGCACCAGCGTAATATCTGTATGCCTATTGAGGGTCAAGTAAACTGACCAGCAGTTCGCTTTACCTCACTTCTTGGCTATGAAAGATGGTCAGTAAAGACTAAGGAGTTGAAAAAACTCCGTTTTTGAACACTACTGCCTTCACAGTATAGGCTGTGTCACCAAACTACCACTTCAGCAACGTAGAAGTCAGACGTTGAGTTTTAGACGTAAGGGATAAGTCATTTGGTAAGGTTGTGAAACTTTGTTGTTTGAGGGTGTGGTAAAGTGTGTTACGCATAACTAATCAGTGTACATCTCATCGCACAGTGTTAGCTGAAGTAGTTTGGATCTGAAAAATGACTAAGGTTGATCAAGAAGTCCAAATCTATTCGTCTGATTGAGCCATGTAGGGGAATGTAAACTTTCAGGCTTGCTTTCACTTGACAGACGATTTGGGCAGTTGAAGGCCATGTAATTCATCTCACAATCAATTTCAATGGTTTAAATGCATACACACCTTACCTTCGTTATAACCATTGCGTCGCAGTTCCTTATTTGCCTTATCGCCCCTATTTTTCGTCTTATTGCTTTCTATAGCTTTTATCTGTTATTCTTTCGTCTGGTTGTTTTCCATTGCAATATGAATGTGGGGGTGTATTGGAACTTGGACTTTTATACAGTAATGCCAGATTTTATGTCGACATTGATTATCTTGCTGACTGATGTAAGGAAGAGGTTCATCGATTGAAATCCTGTACATATGCCTTTTAGGCACTTTGTTAACATTTCAGTTGATCGAATATTCCAGAATTATAAATCTAGTTGTCCTTATGTGCAAAGTGGGAATGAGGATGATGCTTTGTTCATTTATTATTATTATTAATGGTATCGATACCTTAAGTTCCGACTACTTATATACATTCCACGTGCTTATACTTTTGTCTATCTATTTTGAGAGAACATTTATCCCATCCCAGAAAGACAAGATTAAATTATTTCATAAAATTTACCATTATTGTATGAATAAGTTCTCTGTTTTATTGACTCCCTTAAAATTTATTGACTTTAAAGTATTTGGTTGGTATCAGTTTGTTCACAAATTTCTACATGTAATTCAACATCATTGTTACAATGTACCTAAAACTTACCTTTTAATTCTCAGACTATCTTCAAACGCAGTAGAGATTTTACGTGGTGTCGGTGAAGATAGTTATCCTCAAACTGATCTTATTGCACATTCAGTTGAGCATATTTTACAGAATACACAATGGGGTGCCATACTTGTTTTTGTTCCTGGCCTTGTGGTAAGTTTTAATTATTGATATTTTACAACTATAAATAATGTTGTTTGTACTGTTTCAAACCTTACTTTTGGTAGCAATTCTGTGTCATGCTTTGTCTACTATTTTTCTGGTGATAAACTGCTAGAAGTAATTGAAACGTTCTTGCATCTGGGGAGTTGTATTTTTTCTGTTATTCTGCAGATTAGATCAATGAAATCAGCCATCATTGTTTGATACTTGTAATTTCCCGTTGCTATAAGAAGTCGTATTGCTCCACTTCTGTTGACAGATGAGCTTCTATGCGGATGCCTTGGTACCGCCGGATATTCATGATGCTGTATTCATCGTAGTGACTCAGTGGGATCCAGGTTGCGCGTTTCGTCCTACTTAGGACTTGTCAGTTGAATATGCCTGGACATCAGTGAGTAATGTTGTTCACACAAGTATTAAATAACTGCAAGTGATACCCGTTGCACAGACGGTGGCTCTCGTGCTGCAGTGGCCTAGTGGATAAAGTTTCTGTGTTTGAAGCAACGGGTACTGGGTTCGAGTCTCAGTGGGGACAACATCACTCTCTGGGGTGCAGGTACATCCAGCTGACGAGTCTCAAATAGGACGAACCATGCATCATGGATTCCACTGCGAGTCACCAAAATGAATATAAAATCAACCCTCATACAGCTAAGTTTAGACTGCCATGCATCAACCCGGCTCACCTTTATTGCTGTCGTAATTTTAGTTTATGTTATAGGTTAGCTGTATGATACTTTGGTGTCGGCCTCTTGGAGCTTGCGATATCCGATGACTTACTGTTTTCAATCACCACTATTGAGGACATAAACGCTGTACATAATGGTATTAATTATATTAAGCAACGGTAACTGACCTTAGTTTTGGAGTCTTTATTCATATTTGCTCAGGTCACCCGCCCTATTTGATGCTTTGTACATTTTCCTATACATTTCTCAAATACATTAGTCATTGAAAATAACTTGTCTCTGAATTGGCATTTCCTGTGAATCAGGTATTATGGTGAATGCTAAGATTTGTATGAAGAACAATGGCAACAAAAGGGTTGACCCACTCAGAGTAAAACCTAGTGCAATCCCAGCGGAAATGTTTAATTCTGTCAATTTCATGTAAGTGATTCAGAGATCAAGCTATGTAGTTTTAGTCGCGATGTAGATCATAATTTATTGAATGTCACCGTGGGATATCAACCCTGGTGACTCGTGGGTCATATTGTATGTGTGGTGATGATACTATTCGTTTCTCTAGGTCGTAGCAGTTGAGGTAGGACTTCAACTTGGCACCAATCGCTCGGAAGTCTAATTCTGAAGCCAAACAGTCAAGTGTTTCGTTAATTTTGAGGAGCAATAAAAAAAAACGAGAGTTCATCAAATGTATTTCGTGTGACTGCTTATCTTCTTCGGGAGTTGCATCAGCTTGAAAGGTTTGCTTGCTGTCAAAATCTCAGCTTGGATACAGTAGGCCCGTTTTGCATTTGCCAACTTGCGTCACCTGTTGCATCGACCAGCGAGATATGCAACTATCTATCGAAGGACAACTATGCTGTGCTGCAGTCCGTTCTGTCCTCTTATATGGCTGTGAAACATGGTCGTCAAATAAGGAAGACATGAAGCGGTAATAGGGTTTTGGTCACAGATATCTTCATAGCGTTGTTCATGTGTGGTGGAATCACTGTGTGAGCAATGTTGAAGTCAGGTTAAGAGTACTAGGCAAGACAGGCAGGTCGACTGATGACGTTGTGGACCTTCATCGGTGGAGATGGCTTGGACATGTGTTGTGCATACTGAGTCACCGCCCACCCCGATGTAACATGCTCGGAGAAGTTGGGTTGTGTTGGAAAAGGGTTGAGGGTGGCCAGATCAAGACCTGGCACCAATTCACAAAGTCTCTTACTGTTGACCTGAGCTGTGTGGGGGAGATGTAGACTGCCTGATTTTGGTCCCCAAGATGAAAGGAATCAGTGGTTGAGAACACTTGGTGACATGGTTAAAAATCGGTCACAATGGCACAGATATATTCACTCCTTGACATCTAAAGCTTTAATATTCACACTAACTACCTCAGTAAGTAAAAGTACACAATGTTGTCAACTGATTTTTTTTTGCTTAGTACCCTTCGCCTAACCCCGACATTGCTCATATGGTAATTTTCTAATGCGTGAGCAACGCTGCGAAGACAGTTGTGGTCAAAAACCTATGATCATTTTTTTAAACGGCTATGTCTCATCACTGCATAGTAGGACGGAACGAACTGCAGAACATTATACTCTTCCTTCAACAGCCAGATAGCAATTTCACTGGTGCCAGAGATGATGTAAGCTGTGTTCGAGCTGAGGTTATGTCGGCAACCAACGTATTTGGATGATGCAACTTCTTATGCAATAACTTACGTAATCAACACATTGTACCACTTCAATGGATATTTTTATCTGGAAGTGTCTGCAAAGCATACTAAATGTACTCTGATTTTTGCTCAAGTACGTCCGAAGAGTCTGCACTTTTCCTCAGCGTCTTCACCTAACGGGTCATCTGCGCACACCAAGTTAAACATGTGCCCACCATGGAAGCGAGTCAGTTCCTGTGGAGTCGCTGTTCTTTGACCTATTTCTGTTAGGACGTCTAAAATAAAGCTAAACAGGAATGATAACAACTGGTATCCCCGACAGACACCATTGTCGTCAATTTAGATGACGATTCCCTGTAAACCTTTACATGGTTACGTGAGTTTGAGTAGGGGACTTTTGATTAGCATTAGATAATAACTTGGTGCTCCCTTCCCAATCTACCACAATACTTCTTGGTCAGGAGAGTTAATTGCAGCCCTCAGATCAATAAATGCTGAAGGGTAAATATCTATTCGATGCACTTTCGCCCACGTTTGAAACCTGCCTGGTTCTCTCAAGTTTTTGTTCTCGAGCTTCAGATAGGCCTTGGATATCTATGGATTCTAGTATCTCGGATACGATGCTAGTCAAACCGATTCCCCTTTGGTTGTCACTAGAATACTTCAGTCCCTTTCTGTAGATCGAAATAATTAACGGTGTTTACTAATTTAGTGGTGATACCTGTAACTCCTATACACTACCTACTACTTTTATTACCCTACTCAGTAATTTTCTACGTCCATCTTTTAAAACTTGTGGTAGTAAATCGTAAGGTCTTGTTACTTTTTATGGTTTCAGCTTGGAAATAGCCTTCTCAATTTGAAGGAGAGTTGGAAGACTGACTTACGCATCCAATTTAGGTTTGGGCAAGTTTGTGTTTAAGATCGATCTGCATTTAAAGTACGTGGAAGCAAAAAAAGTGTATGAAGTTATTAACTGACTCCCTGTGACAAGTTGATCAACCTAGCCTTTAGTTCGAACAAATGCTTACTGACTATTCAAGACATATACCAATATGTAAGGTCTACTTGTCTGATTAGGTTTTAACCCAGTATTCCGACGTATGACGGTTAAATGGTTATTCTACCTCTGGTGCTATCGTGAAGTTAATTTTGCTGTAAAAGGCAAGGCATACAACGCATCAATGCTGGCAGTTCCCTTTGCCTGTGGAAACCTGGTCTCCAAGCTTAGGATGCCCAACAACTGTGTTTTCGATCACCATTATTGCCTCAGGATTGCTCGTATCCGGTAGAAACCCCATGCAAGTTATTTTAAGATGAGGTGGCGTGTATTTGGTTGTGACGTATTTTGTCGTTGACTGAGTATGGTCATGTTGAAACACTGGCTTTTTTGCCTCGGACATGCGTTACTCGTGCTGTGCCAGCAGCACACACATCATTCTCTTGTCTTGGGACTTTTTGGAGGACTAGAGAGAGGTGGTCAGTGTATGTATATGACTTGGCACCGTGGAATGTAAGTTTAGCGTCTTTTGGCGCCTTTCAATTGCGTCTTTACCATCGTTTTTACTACAGACCTAATATCATGCCAGGTTTCCTCGGCACGAGCATTGCTGTCATGTTCAGATAAATGCTTAGCTATCACCTCCCTAAATACTTATTTGGCGTCCTCTTTTTGTAATTGGCCAAAAACAGGCTTTACTACCGTCTCTTTCCGGCAACCAGTAATGGACAGACATTTATGTCTATAAATGCTTTCACGAATAAATAGACGGATAACTACATCTTTAACTTTAAACAGTTTTTGGCTAACCAATTTTTTACATGTATAAAGGTATCTTTTTTTTCCATCAAACTTCTAATGTTCCTTTTTGGACCGATGTCAGTGGTACTGATGTATACACATATTATCCTCATCTTAACGATGCTATACCGAATCTCACCATTTTCTCATACTTCCTTCCTCTCTTTGCCTACTTTATATTTCTTTTGACTGAGTTTTCTTTCTCTCATCTTCCACTTCACTGCCTTTTTACTTGATATACTGATATGAGCTGTAGCAACTCGGACCGTTACACAGTAATGCCTATGCTGATACTGATAACTTATTATGTTTTTTCATTTCCCGTAAATGCATCATTTGTCATGGATTCAATAGGATATAAAAGATACAATTCAATCTCTACGAGCATTGAATCCAAGACGATATAATGAACTAAATGGAAACGTTCGAATTTATCCCCTGCACTCGAGACTTCCTACGTCAAGGGATCGTTCTTTGTTCGAACCACCACCACATGGTAAACGAAAAGTTATTATCTCCACAAATATTGCTGAAACAAGGTTTGTGAGAATTTTCTCTTACTGTGTAAAAAAAATGCTTTTTTGGTACATTGGTTATGCATATTTGTAAAGTAACAACATGATTGAAGTTTCTATTGCCTTTACAGTAATAACTGACGGGTGACGAGAGGTGAATATCAATTCTAAAACTATTGAAGCCTTTCTAATAGCCCACTGAAACTAAATTAAACTTTATAAAATAGAACACGAGTAATAATAGCCCACTTTGTAACAGCCAAAACAGAAGTTCGATGACAACAATCGCCACCTACTCAACAACCTTGTTCACATGCAGTAGGAAATGATCCACACCTGTTGTATGACGGCGAATGTTACTACATGGCTGCTTAAACTCTGGTAGGGCGGAGCTAGGTTCGAAGCTGTGACCCATCAATTAGAAACCAAATTGCCTAGACCAATGACGCACAGCGTAGACAAGTAAACTAAGATGAAAATATGTTGAAGCAGGAGAAATGAGAATGCCTGGAACACTAAGACACAAAAACTAACTAAGCTTTCTAGCCGCTACTTATTATTGCTTCACAAACTCCAGCTAAAAATAATACACTCTTCAAAGTATCATGAGTCAGTGCCTTTATAATGTGTCTTACCTCTAATAACTTGTGTTCTCATTCTCCATGTTTCTTGTACAGGCGACATCCCGTATAGCATGGTATGCGGTGGTTAGGTATACTACAAAAATTTTACAGCGCTTTCAGTCGATGCAGTATTATGATATTACACTAATGTACCTAAAACCGTTCACCTACCCTCAACATTGTGGCGTCAAGTCATCTGCATCTTTCTCTCTGACGAAGTTGTCCTCTGCAGTTGTCATTTCCAACGGAGGTCGATCAATTCCATTCAGTATAAAAACGGAGAATAAGAAATATATCAACGAATAAAAGCAACTAATACCTGTTGTATAAAAGGTTGCTAAAGTGCCTCAGTGGCCCAGTAGACAACACTTTGACGCTTGGACTAATGGGTACAAGGTTCGAGACTCAGTGAGAACCGATATCACTCACTGGGGTACAGGTACATCCAGCTGGCAAGTCCCGAATAGGATGAAACGCGTTTCCTGTCTTCTTCTGGTAGTCACAACCAAGCAAATTACAGATGAGATTAGCTGATTAATTACTTGTTCATTGTGAAAAGGCAAGTTAACTAATGAGATTGTGGACCTTCATCGGTGGAGATGGCTTGGACATGTGTTGTGCATACTGAGTCACCGCCCACCCCGATGTAACATGCTCGGAGAAGTTGGGTTGTGTTGGAAAAGGGTTGAGGGTGGCCAGATCAAGACCTGGCACCAATTCACAAAGTCTCTTACTGTTGACCTGAGCTGTGTGGGGGAGATGTAGACTGCCTGATTTTGGTCCCCAAGATGAAAGGAATCAGTGGTTGAGAACACTTGGTGACATGGTTAAAAATCGGTCACAATGGCACAGATATATTCACTCCTTGACATCTAAAGCTTTAATATTCACACTAACTAATATCTTAAAGTTGTTTCTTCTCCCACACTACTTTATCTATTTTGATATCACTTTATCTATCCACCTGTTCTTTGTGTACTGGTATAATGTATGGTAACTTGAGCCGATGCACGCCTGTTCAAGGTTGTACGTTGATTTTGTTAGTCATTCATTATGAAAGAAATATTTAGTACTGTACGATTGTTAGAATGTAATTCCTCTTGAAGTAAAAAGTTTCTATCGTGTGTTGTGTATTCACCTCTCGATGATGACACATACTTGAACGTTTTATATTTTTCTATTACTCAGCGCACGCCTTTCTTTTCATGAGCTTGTTTGATGAAATTCACTGTGTTTTGCAGTAGACATTCCTAAGTTGACGATAAATATGTAACTGAAATCTCTGGAAATGAATCTGACATTAGATAGAGGTGGAGAGAAAAGGACCCCTGTGAAATAGGACACTGATCTATCAAATGGACTGTTTTGTGCGTAAAGAAAGTTTTATCGGCTTAATTGTTGTATAGCATGGTGTAGTAGCATCTTTTACAAAACTTTCTCATCATATCATATCATACAGTTCTAAAGTGACAGCCATTTACCTACAGGTGATACTTTCCATTTTCGAACTAGGATGGTTTTAATGAATATTTGTCATCTGTTGTGTTGTGAATTTGTTATTTACACATGTGTGATGTAACTTGTAAATTCGAGCAAGATTAACAATAGAAAAGCTCACATCTTGTAAGTAGCATTGTGTAGTGATGTAACTTTGGAAGTTTTTGTTGAAACTATATAATCTAAAGCATGCAATCTAGTCCAAAAGTATGCTTGTCTTAATAACACACAGCTGACGGACTGTTTATGGTTACTCTATGAGTATGGCATACAGCTTGAAGAAACTAACGTATTCGCGTTCAAACCACTGACCTTCGATCTTGAACATTATTTACGGTGATATCTGAAATTTTAAGTGATCTTATCGAATCTTGACATTTCATGTCATTGGATTGCCAAATGAATATTGGATTTAGTATATTGAGTGTGTCTATCTTCAACGTACTTGTAAAATAATTTCTTAATTCACTTCCAATGAGAGTGGAACGGAAGATCATGCTTTAAATGGCAGTTATCCTATTTTTGATTGGATTATCTACAAACACTATCCACTCTATGTTAAGTAGGATGAAATTCATTAAAACTTTAATCTTATTCGATAGCCTAACGATCAGGGTAAATTTTCCTTTCCGGTAAATTTTGAACAGTTCACAAACCCAATCCAAAATCATTATTGATTATCGTAGATCATAGGAGAAGACAAGACGTGGTTTCAGCGAAGAAAAATTTTTCTTTTCGACGAAGTCATTTACTAAGCAGTGCATTCGTGAATATATGTTACAGTAGGTAGAATGTTTCAGAATTGTTTCCGGTTAGAGGGCAAAATATATTGAATGACGAAAGGAAGTTAAGTAATACACATTCATGTTTAGAGTGGGAAAGTAAACAGGGGATTATGAAATCGAACGTAGTTACGCAATGCAGGATGGTTATTTGGCAAAGTAGGAAAGTGAAAGAAAGGTTCCATATTAGATTTGTTTATTTGATATAAAGCGCACAGTGATACAGTATTATTTACTTGATTACGTTTCGAGCATAAATTATTGCTCATAATCATATCAATGTAATCACACTTCTTTCGACATCTGATTTTATAGTCCTGTCACCTGATCTCTCTTTGTTTTTTTGTTTTTTGATTGGTAGTAAAGTTTTCCATATCTCTGGTATAGGTGTTGCGTCATTCCTATTACATGTGTTGGGTGTGGATTCGATGAACAAAGATTCAGTAATTAATCTCTCTCTCCACCTAGCTATATTAGACTTAAGTACAGTGGTTTTGTCCCATCCTATTGTGTGGTTGTGTGTTAATGAATGTAATGCAATGGCTGAGTGTTTTTCTAGGTTATTGATCTTATTGGGGTCTGTCGTTCTATGTTTAGCTAAATTCCTATGTTCTGTTAATCTAACTGACCCCGACCGGCTAGTTTGACCTATGTATTTGACTTCACAGTCATTACATGGAATTTGGTAGATTATATTATTTTGCTTAATTGGTTCTATCGGATCTTTTAGCCGACAAAGCTTACCTCTAAGTGAGTTTGTTGGTTTAAATGCCACCCTAATTCCAACCTTGTTGAGAATCCTACGTATGGTTTCTGATGTTCCTTCCTTGTATGGTATCACAATAGAGGTGCTGATTTCCTTTCTACTTATGTTGTCACTATTATTTGTATTTGTATTAGTGTTATTATTTTGCTTCTTATGCGTCCGTGTGAATTTCTTAATAAAATGATGGGGATAATTATTAGTTATTAACGCTTCTTTTATGTGTTTCAATTCCTTATTTAAGTCCTTACAATGACTAGTGAGTTTCTCAGCTCTGTTATTTAGACATTTGACTAAACCCGCTTTAACTGACACTGGATGAGATGACTTGAAGTCTAGATACCTGTTAGAATGTGTTGGTTTTCTGTAGACGGTAGTATCTAAACCACCATCTATCCTTCGTTTTATTCTGCAATCCAACATAGGTAATTCTCCTTGTTCATTTTCTACTTCGTAGGTGAATTGGATTGCGTTAACTACTGAGTTTATGTGTGTCAAGAAACTGTCGATATGTTCCGATTTCAACACTGTAAATGTGTCATCTACATATCGCCACCATATCTTAGGTGTCGGATTATATGTTCGTAAAGCCATATCTTCCCAACTATCCATAAATATATCTGCTACTATAGGGGATATTGGTGATCCCATTGCTACTCCTTCTGTTTGTCTGTATATCTTTCCCTGAAACTTGAAGACTGTCGAGGTTAAGCATAACTGCACTCCTAACATGATTTCACCAACCGATGCCTTGGTTCTTTGAGTAAGTTGTGAGTCAGTATCTAGTTGATTTCTGACTGCCTCCAGTGCCATATTGATTGGTATTTTAGTATAAAGACTTGTTACGTCAAAACTAACCATTTTTTCATCCTCTTCTATGTGCAGGTCATTAAGTTTTTGTTTCAACTCGTAAGAATTTACTAGTCTAGAGTTGGAACGGTCTCTAACAGGACGTAATACTGATGCTAAATACTTTGATATCTCATATGTTGGTGTGTTTCGGAAGTCAACTATCGGCCTAATGGGATAACCTGCTTTATGAACCTTAATAGTACCGTAAATTCTGCTAGGATTATTAGTTTTTGGCATTAAAGTAAACCATTCGGACTTACCTAGAGATGGCTTCAGTCGGCGTATCAGATCTGTTGTAGATTTCTTAATTTTATTCATGACAGTATCTATAGGTTTCTTAATCTCTTCATATGGCCCTGTTTGGATATGTTCATCCATTTTTTTAAGATAATCCGATTTGTCCATAACTACTGTTGAGAGATTACGAATAATAAACAAATCTAATATGGAACTACATTCTACCACAGTGCCCAAGTTTTTCACGTATATTAATGAAAGAAAGGTTATTGAGGTAAAATCGCGATTATGCAATACCGGATAAGCCTATGACAGAGTATGAGAATAAACAGGGGATCGTGGAAATATGTTTGCAATTACGTAATACAGGTTAAAATCTGTGACGTCATAGATTGAACCTGCATTACGTAATTGCAATCTAATTTTCGTAATACCTTGTTTATTTTCCTAATCTGTCATAGGCTTATCCGGTATTACATAATCGCAATTTTATCTCCATAACCCTCCGTTCAGCCTCCTACTCTGCCATTTCGTCCTAGTATGGGACTCCCCAGCAGTAGGCACCCACGACCCCGCCAAAGGTCAAACACAAGACCTTCATGTTCTGTGGCCAGCACGCTCCCATTGGACCACTGGGTCGGAGTCCAATGACCCACATTTCCTACTTTTGTCAGTTTACGAAATAGCACCACCTTCATCCAGTGCCGTCGATGGGCACCTGTTCTCATGTCCGACTTAGTTTACTGCACAGGTCATGACTTGGGGAATCATCTCCAGAAGCAAATCACCGATGAGCACTAGCATTATTCATTTTTAAGTTTTGTAGGAATTTATATATTGATTTCAGGTTGCTGTCATGAACTGACAGCAATTGGTGAAACATTAGAAACTGATGTTAATTCTTGATGAGTACCGACCTGAAATCAATAAATCAATCCCTATAGACCTCAGAATTGAATACTTTATCATCAGTTATCTTCGTAGATTCACACGCAAAAGTCGTATTTTCTACTGAGTTAAATTTTTAATTAATTACTTAATTTTTGGAAATAAATTATGCCTTCCTCTCTTCTAGTGTAACTATTCAGGACGTGGTGTATGTAATTGACTGTGGTCGAATTAAAGTGACTGATTATGATCCGAGACAGAATACATTTACATTGACTCCTATTCTTGTTAGTAAAGCTAATGCATCTCAGCGTTGTGGGAGAGCTGGTCGGTAAGTTGTATTGGAATTTCTGAAGTAGCATTTCGTTTTTTTTATCAAACAGTATTTGTAGAGCTATGGATCACTCATCTAGTCAGTTCTCTTTCATCTAGTGGGCCATCCGTCGGTACCTTTCTCCACATGTTGAGGTTTGGGCAGCTACACAATATGTGTGGTTCACTGCCTAGTACATGAAAATGCAGATGTTTTCTACTATAAATTATTTTGTATTAATTTCTTATAATCCGTCAAACAGCCGACATCAACGTGAGAACTGGCATTACTGCATGACGATCCAAATTACCACACCTCACACTAGCGTACCAAGGTGAAAGATAGCGCAATAAGCAAGAAAGGGGTCGAAATTAGTATTAAGTCGTATAAAGAAAAGAAGAAAGGCTAAGACAAAAACGAAAAATGTGGTGTAACTATTAAGATTAGGATTAAAGTAATATTTAGATGCGTTCTGCCCATGTCTTATGTATTACCTTCGTAGAATAACCATCTGTGTGCTGAACGTGATTTGCAGATTCTCACATCGCCAGATTAAAAGTTCATCAGTTGGAGTAGCAACTAGGTGTTGGAATAAAAAAAATTTTCGTGTGGAAAGATGTAGACTGCCTGATTTGGGTCCCCAAGATGAAAGGAATCAATGGTTGAGGACACTTGGTGATATGGTTAAAAATCGGTCAGAATGGCACAGATATATTCACTCCTTGACATCTTCTAAAGATTTAATATTCACACTAACTAATATTTTCAAATTGTTTATTCTCGCACACAGTTATTTTCACTTTCATATCACTTTTATTCTATCCACTGTAAAGTGTGGCAACTCGAGCCTATGCCATTGTGCGAAGTTCTACGTTTATTTATCTGTATGTCTGCCTATTATACAAGTTCAGTTTGGAAAATCAACTTATTTTGCATTTTCATGATTCAAATGATTGTTTCTGATGTTCTGGTATAGTCAGAAATCGTACGCCTCTTCACTTTTTCAAAATTTAGGTTATCTGTTTGTAGTTGTATAAAGTTTGCAACACCAAAATATAATTTCAGACGCAAATTTAAGTAGTAATTTGACATTCACGGGGAGTGATGCACATTTCCCTATACTTTCAGTTACGTGACCTCACGCATCAAGTCACTTAATCAGATATGTTGGCTTGACGGCGTAACTCGACCAAATTAACCTTTACAAACATCAGTTTTTGGTGGCGTTGTGTCCTTTGAGCTGAATAGTTCAATCGTGAAGCTTTCATTGTTGTAGGCAAGATTATCAGCACAAACCTCAGAAAAAGTGGAAATATCAGTTTTGTTACTTCATGCCCATGGAATATAAACTTGGTACTCACCGAATTAGATTTTCACTGTATGGTCTTGTAGTGATAACCGTAATTTTTACAGTGGGCAACTTTTGATAATATTTCTATATAAGGGCTAGGAGATTGATCCATTTGTAGTTATGGGAAAAACAAGAATTAAGGTAATTGTTGTGTGCCAGTTCACGTAGCTCCTGTGCATATAATTCTTCAGTAAATTGATGTACTATTGTGAAGTAAATATCGATAGTGAAATCTAGTTACGTTTTTCTTTTAAAGAGGAATTTAAGCATAAAGATAAGGTATTGATGTATGGAAACTAGTAACTTATTTGTAATCGTGGATATTTACTCAAAATATTTTCCTTGGCAAAAATGCATAAAGAAATTGAAATCTTTGTGAACAATCAGAGACACGTGAACTTTCATTCAGCAAGTAATAGTTCTCTAAGTCATGAAAGAATAGTGTTAGGTGGCTGGTTTTCTGAGGTACTCAGCTTCTCTATCATTATTTTAAAATCAAAAGATTTTTTGAGAAATCGCCCTTTGAATTAGTTACCCATGGTAGAAAAATAAACTATGGTTCACATGATCAACTTACCCACGTAGTGTATAATAATGATGGATACAGGAAAGAAAAGAAAATCCAACTAAGAAATTTTTTTCTTCCTAACGATGTCGTTTACTAAAGCTGAACGATGGCGTATTCGTAACAAATAACACTCTATAATCTACCATTAACTTTTGGGTCGCACCGGTAATATATTGTTTAAGAATGGAATAAAAAGTTTCATCTAAAAACAAAGGGATTACATACCGATATATGATGTAATAAAACTTATCAGAGTTTTTCTTTTCGACGAAGTCATTTACCAAGCTGTGCATTCATGAATATATGTTACAATGGGCAGAACGTTTCAGAATTATTTCTGGTTAGAGCGGAAAATATATTGAATGACGAGGGATTATGAAATTAAATGCAATTACGCAATGGAGGATGAGTGTATAGCAAAGTAGGAAAGTGAACGAAGGGTTATGGAAATAAAACTGCGATTATGTAATACCGGGCAAACGTATGACAGTATGAAAATAAACAGGGGATCATGGAGATATGTTTGTAATTACGTAATGCAGGTTAAATCTATGACAGTAGGAAAATGAATAAGGTATGAAGGAAATGTATGTGTAGTTACCTGATGCAAAATGAATCTATGGCAGACAAGGCTTTATGATGGCCATGGGAAAGATGAAGGTTGGACGTACCTTTTTTTGGACACATAACTCTGGTTTGAACGTCTGGATCGCTAGTGCTTCAGCTATAGACAAATGCCTTGATCTTACTCCTTTCGAGTGGTTTGATCGAACCCTGTAGACAATTTTGAATGAGCTCTCGAAAGGAGCTAAGTGGCTTGAGTTCATGAGATGTTCTGTTATTGAACTGAAGATACATTTCCGTTCTCCTTTTGTCAGCCAGGCTGGGTAGTATTCGCGGACTAGTTTTACAAGCGGACGCATGATACGGCCGATGTACTCAGCTGCACAAGAGCAAGTAAACTGGTATACACACATTGATGTGGCCCAATGCATCAGCTTGTCTTTCACACATTGACCGAAAAGTTTCTTGGAGGAGAAAATAATCCGAAGGTTGTCGGCAGAAGTATGTTCTGCTTAAGGATTTTGACAGTCGTTTCCTCAGGATCTCTGCACCAGTATCATTTTTGAAATCAAGATTCAACGAAATAATCTTTTTCGACACCAAATGTCTTCGTTCAGTTTGGTTCTTTGGTTTTATGTTTTTATCTATGAATCTGAGCAGGAAGCCACTTTCCTCTAGAGTTCGTCGAAGTAATTGCAGTTCTCCATCAACCGTGAATTCAAAAATGATATTGCCACAGAGATCCTGAAGAAACGATCGCCAAAATCCTTAAACAGAACATACTTTGCCGCCAACCTTCGGAATTCTTCAACTAAGGCTTTGATTCTTTTATTTTCGTTGCATATAATTATTTTTATTCAAATACCTTGTACACAGATGGAAACTGTCAGTTGTTGGGCTTAGTACAGTGTTATTCATGTTTGCCGTAAAGCAATCTGTTAGTTGGGAAACAAGTAGCAACCCTATCGCTACCCCATTTGTTTTCTGTAGAATACATCACGGAAATTAAACTGAACGTTCGAAGTAGCTGATTTAAGTTTTGCTTGGGAATATTGAATTCTCGTCTTCAATGAAGTCACATAAGGAAAAATGATTCCAGTGAACGAAACATGATCAAGTAGTGATGTGAAATCCAGTGCAACTGTTCGTTTATGCGACACATTAATACTATCGATTGGTTTAGTGAAGTCTCATGGATCGGACACGCTGAGTTTTTGAATGGCTTCTGACTACCTGTAGGATATCAGAGAGGCAATACATGGTGATTTATTTATATCTAAAATTGGATGGAGTGGGACGTTTCTTTAATCCATTTTTGGAAAGGTATTTCATGGAATAACTCTCGGACCATATAGTTGTATTTTCTTGGGTAATTTTGAGCTAGTTATGGATTCAAAGACAAGATATTCAGCGAAGAGAACTCTTTTCAACGAGTTTATTTAAAGACTGTAATCCGTGAGGAAGATTTAACTGAAATAATGGGGTTTGAAACAAAATAATGATGATGGTGGTAATTATAATGTTAATAGTTGATGACATAAAGGTCGAATGGTGACAAAAAGGCGTTACGTAAGACTTTCAAATCGTTTATAAAGTGCATGTAGATTAAAAGGGGTGAGAACGATAATAAACAATCAAAGGATTAGGTAATATAGATGAGACAAGTTAATTGGAGTAAATTGAAAATGTTTTGTTAAAAGTTGTGATTATTAGTAGGATCAAATGAAATAACACCCGAAACAAATAAATACAAAAAACAGTGTGATAATGACGATATAAGAGTACACAGATTAATCTGACAAAAAAGGGGAATGGGGTGAAAAACGGAAAAATAGGACGAAGCGCAGCAAGACTAAGATAAATTAAGGCCAAGGTAGAGACAAAGACTGTACGTACTTTTGCACACAAAGGTCAGGCTTCAGTTCATGGATAGCCAAGGCCTCTGCCGTTTTTAGAATGTACAGCTTGAGAATAAATTCATTGAAAAGAGTCCTCTTCGCTGAATATCTTGTTTTTGATGTCACAATGGGAGTTATGGATTCATCCTTCATTTTGTCGACAATTTGAGTGATTTCTACTTGGTTTGTTTTATCTTTCTGATTAATTTCTTTTGGAAATTAGTCTTAGGTAGCTGTTGTTAAAGAAACAGGAAAGGTGACTACATAATATTTTGATAAATAAGAATGTATTTTTCATTCATCTTGAAAAGGTGCTGAAATTGTTCTTATCGATCATCTGAACTACTAGGCGTTTATCAGTTATATCAGATGGAAACAAACTTTATTATCATCTGATTTTATACGAAAAGTTAAGTTTATTTATCACCTTGTTTAGGTGATTTATTGAAATATTAGTTGGTTGGAGGTAATCGACAGGAAACCATGGACGTAGGTTTCGTGCTTTTTGGCTCTCGTCAACAAGACGTACCTGCAGCCTCGGGGGAACTGATGTCCCCTTTAAGATTCGAACCCGCATCACCCGGTGTTGCAGTGAGTGACATTACCACTGAGATATTCAGGCCGTGATTGACCTTCTGCAGAACTGAATTACATACACTGATTGATCACGAAGTGCAACCAGTCTCATGTCTAATTCTCTATCGATCATTTTGAAATGTGGCCACTAAGCTAGAAAGCTCATCACTGCTCTGCACTTTGATGGATATTAGTTTGTTGGAGGCAATCGGTAGCTCAGTGGTAACGTCGCTCACTGCAACACTTAGTGACGGGTGTTAAAATCTCACTGGGGACATCAGTTCTCTCGAGGTTGCAGATACACCTTGCTCACGAGTGCGAACAAGCATGATACCTAGGTCTGGGGCTTCCTGCCGATTGCTTCCAACTAGCAGAGATCAATCAAAGTGCACCGTGATGGTGAGCCCTCTAGCTTGGTGGTCACGTTTCAAAATGTCCGACAGAATCCTATCAGCACTGAGGATAAGGCAGCATAAGATTGGTTATTCTCCAGTGGATCAGTCAGTGTATAATTTGTCAAAATATTACGCAGAAAATTTTGATGATTTCAGTTTTAGATTACTGTAATATCTTTATAGTGGTTCACCTTCTTTCTTTGACAACAGTTGAATAAACCGTAGACGATGAAAACTTGGTTCAACGTCGTATGTGTACCACTATACCTTTTATCTCTTCACTGTTAACAACCACTGTTTTGCATTCATGAGATTGTTCTTGTTGAGTAACTTTAACGGCCACTCTAACAACTGCTGATATGACCAATCGGGCTTCATTATTTCGCCTGGAAAAGTACTTTTCTATAAAATAAAGGAATGTAATTGGCTGCCTTATCAGTTGCTAAGGTAGCCTTTAAAGCCACTATCAGCTGCATCAACAAAATCAAATATACTCTCAACAATCACGTGCCGGTTCATCCAGTAGGTGAGTCGGGATCTCAACATCTAGCCCACTGGTTGTAGATAATCTTGCACGACCAGTAAACTGTAGCTTTACCTTTGATATGCTAGTACAGCTTTTTCTGCAGTTCTGCGTGTCGATAAACAAAACAATGGTCGTCCAATAAGACAAAATTAGGATATTTGTACATTTAATTTACACTTTGATTCTGACTTTCAACCTATTTTTGAATCTTAAGTCTTTCACAGACGTGCGTATAGCACAGTTTCATCTACGCCTTGTCGCCTTATGTTAAATTCTGAGCACCTTGTCAACCTAAAGCTTTTGTTCTGTTTCAACCGATTTCCTTTTTGTCTTTTGTCGTTTTGCCTCTGTTACTTTTCTAGTTGCTGGTTTTGCTTGGCTGTGATGAAAATAAGATGGGACAATTTGGGCTGATACTCATCTGTTCCAGGTTCTATTTCGAAAGCATAAAGAAAAGTCTTGATTTTAGGCTGATTTTATTGTAAAAAGATGATTGTAACAAATAAAAATTCTACGATGATATTTTGTGACGTAAATTTACCAGCATCCATATGTAATACAAAATCAAGGTAGAACCTCACACAACTGCATCGATTTAGGCTGCTACACTTCCCACTAGTATACAAAGGAACAAGTGGTAATAATCCTAGAGCTACCACTTAACTTTTACTCTGCTCAGTAAACGTAACTACCCTTTAATTAGCGCACTTAGAAAAACCAGGACTTACTTCATAAGCCTATAGATTCAGTACCCAACTTTGTATTCTACAACTTTATTTGCTCATTCTCCCCATCATTCACTTATTCTTGACTGATTAAGTTTATCCATCTTTCCATCTAAATGAAGGTTATGTTAATATCAAAGTGCTTGCATTGCTTCTTTGTTCTAATCCACGTCACGAGAAATATATATATACAGATACTCATTTAAGAAGATTAAAATGCGTGTCCTCAGCTGACCTCAAATAAAGCAGACATATCGATCGTTTTTTCAGTTATGTCTTATGGAACAGAAATTGTAGCAAAGCTTGTTTACTATCCCAAAATGTCTGCCCGCTTTTTTGTTAGATAAAAATGGATATGGTTGCTTGTCCTTACAATGCGGAAACGGAAATTCACTTAGCAAACTTGTGCATTTTTGTGCAATAGTTAATAAGCCACATCCTTTATGCGTGGATTAATGATGCTACATGACTGCCCAAATCTCTGTAGTCTGGGTGGGGTCCGAACCCGTGACCCATCGGTGGGAACTTAGCTACGTGTAAGAGTCCATTATCGTCCTGTTTGTAGATAGATTAGGACTAAGATGATTCAGGTGTTAATGAATCATTTATTGTGACTACTTATCAATAATTTGGTTATTTCGACCTTGGTTTGGTTTTTATGACTGAATAGCTATGAATGACATAAGGGTAGGTGTAATATTGTACGTAATCCAACTTGCCACGCTCTGAAATTCTACAGAAAGCTAAAAAATATCTCGAAGACTATGAAGATACGTAAACCCATCTGACTATTGCCATGTTTCAGCTCATAATTATAGTTCTATTCATATACAGTTAGATGTCAGCTTTTATGGGGTTAATTCACCTGTCATTGAAAATTCTTTTTAAAGTCTGTTGTTCCTTACCAACCCCAATATTGTTATGCTGCGATGGTTGACGCTGGTCGTTTACCTGTCACCTCTTCATACTGTATCTCCCCCATATAGTTTATAAATTAGGCTGAGATGGCTATTATTTGGAGACTGATGTGATTTTTACTGGATGATAATTAACGGCGAAATGAAAAATTGGTCTAAAACAGCATTTGAATCAGTTTATAGTCAAAAATATATAGTGTAATCAACAGTAGAGAGAGGGAGAGACAGACGCAATCAGTGCACATTTGAGCCACACCTATTATGTAAAGGCTAATTGTACTACTATCTGACTGCCTGAATCTCAGTAGATGGAGCGATGTTTGAACCCGTGACCTACTGTATGAAAGTGAACTCCCTAAACCGATCAGCCACAGCTCCACATGACCAACGGTCTGAAGTATTGAATGTTATAGTTTTATAGATATTGCCTATATATATATATATATATATATATATATATATATATATATATATATATATATATATATATATATATATATATATATATATCTGTAACTTTTTCCAACATCTACGGAACTGAAATATGCGATTCCTCAGTAGTTACTTCCATTTGTATGGCTATATGACTGTTTCGTTGAGGTATTTTATCTCTATATTAGTACGCACATAATATTTCATTGTTAAATAATCTACATTTGTAAATTAATCCTTTTTTTTCTTTTGATTATTTCTAGTGTACAGCCGGGTATTTGTTATCACTTATTCTCAAGTTATGTTTATAATAATGTGATGTCAGACTTTCTACAGCCGGAAATGTTACGTGTTCGTTTAGAAGATATAATTTTAAGAATCAAGGTAATTGAATGTATTCAGTATTTGTTTGTCCACTTTATATTCAGTACCCTTTCATGATGTTTTGTTCAAACCGTTGAATTGAGTACGTTTTTTTGCTCAAATATTAATCAAATTGTATGATGTGTAAAGCACTTACATAGGAGTACATTACAATTCTATAATTGTATTCTCAACTATGGTAGGGTATAATTACTAGAGTGTGAAATTAGTAATGGCTACTACTAAAAATTTTATAACCGTTGTTGCTTTTTTCTATCGAAAAAGAGGAATACAATCACTGTACTACTTCATTTAAACCTAACTGAACTCACTCTTCACATTGTGTTAAACATTATTATTGATTCTCACATGACGAGGAATAATATTTATTTAATACAGCTCTTAGTAGTTTGATGAACCTTGGTTTAAAATGGCTAAAAGAAGTTAGATACATAAGACCTGTTCGGCATATCCCAGCTTGCATCATCTGTCTCTGGCGAGATATCCGACTACTTGTCAAAGGGCGAGTATACTGCGCTGCAGTACGGTCTGTCATGTTACATAGCTGAGACATGACCGTTAAACGTGGAAGACATTAAGCGATTACACGTTTTGGGATCGTAGATGTCTTTTGTAGCATTGCTCGCGTTCGGTGGGAGCGACGTGTCTTGAAGTCAGGCGGAGGGTATTAGGCAAGATAGGCAAATTGGTTGGTAAGGTTGTGAACCTTAATCGATTGAGGCTTGAACATGTGTTGCGCATACTGAGTCACCGCCTATCTAGACAAGCCATCCTGGGAGAATTCATATCAGGTTGGAAAAGCGTTCAGTGTGGCCAAACCAAGACGTAACACCAAGTCAATGCAAGAAACGTTTTCCATTATCACTCTGGTAACGGACGTCAACTAGTTACTTTTTCGTTTTGCTTTCACAGTGTAGGGATTGAATAAGTGTAACTTACCTGAATACTTATAGTGTTGAATCTACAATGATGGTTGTTAGACACCAACCAAAGTTATACATGAAACCTCAAAAGTTCAGAACAGGCAGGTCTATGAATAAGGTAGTCGAGATAATAATAATTACAGCCATAAACTGTTGCACTTCCTTGAGAAAAAGTTGCCGAACCGATCACCAGGAGTCATCAACACGAACCAGCTGAGTAATCTACAGATAATGTACAGTCAAAACTAGTAGCTCACTTCTCAATCGAGCAAACTCGTCAAATGACTGAAACTAATCCGGATACAAAATCAATCTGATTTGAAGGTAGCCAATATAAAAATGAAGGTGGTACTTTCAAAATAGGGTATAGAAAGGCAGAGGTAAATATGAGAAACAGGAGAGAATCTCTATTGCACGCGCTTGAATGGGTGGGTAATAAATTAGCTTGGTGAACAGAACTTGCTGAGGTGCCATGATTGACACAAAGATAGGCGGGCAGGCGTAATGTATTCGAAACAGATATTTGTCTAACTCAGAAAACAAATCGCTCTGAACTTGTACACCATGGGCTAATAGTATTCACTACAATAGTTATCTATGCTTATCGTGGGGACTTGGTTGCAAACTGCGCGTGCTATATCCGAATTCTTCAGCAAGTGGCCACAAAGACCATCCGTGTGTATGCCGCATGCATACTGATGGGATATGCACACATACTTGCATATGCATGTATATGTCACGCATACGTATACATAGACGTGTGCACTCACGTAGGGTCATACACACATATACATATGCGCTATTGCATATACATGCATGTACTTGTACATATATGTATATTTGTTATTGATAGTAGAAACAGGTGATTTTATTCTTAATAAATAACTGTGAAGTTAAAAGAACATTGATAAAAGTGTAACCGATATGTAACTTTTCTTCATCTGTGCACTATATGGCGATCATCGGATTTGAAGGTTGATAATAATTTAATTAGTAATCTGAAAGAGATATGATTCTCAGGTTTTGGCGGGTTACCTCAAAAGTATCTAAGCATGATGATCTATAATGATTGATTAGTTCCACTGTATAACACCATTGGCATGTGTTAGAACCAAGTTGTTACAAATTCGGAGGTTATGAGATGAAGTTCATGAGACAATTGAAAACAGTAGTTTTTTACTTTAAGTGATGTAGACTGAGGTCGGTTGCACTGGTGAAGATGAATCTGTTGTTTTCCGTATGGGAAACACTAGATGTCTTCCTCTTCGTTGACCTTATATACGCCTATTAACACTGCTTCCTTGAAATTTGTAGATATCGTCGTCTTTATTCCCTTCGTCTTATTGTGTTAATTTCTCCTCATTGATGTGTTGAAGTATCACAACTTACTTCGAGATACATTAGTTCTGGACCGTAGGTTGTTTACTCTTTTCTATGTGTGTCTGTATAGTGGGGGGCCATATGGATTTTCTGCCAGGCTTTGGGTATTAAAAACCTTGCTTATAGTAACTAGTTAATCTATTAGTCTGGTAGCATATATTTTTCAGTGATATGATGGCTTTTGTTAGCCTTTTTTGTCTAGACCACTTACCGGTGCATCTTTTAGCTTATACATTCTTCCCGTTTTATTTATTAAAAATCGAATATGAACTTGATGAGAACCTGATGAGAAGTTATTGGAAAAGGATATTCGTTCATGATTGACTTTTAACTATGCATTGTTGTTTCCCAACAATTAGATCTTATTCACATAATTATTGAGTCACATGACTTGGGCGTTGATCTGAAATAACGTTCACAGTTATTTTTTCGTTCTGTGTTCAATGTTGATTTTGATAAAAGTCTAGTCTTTTCAGTCTGTGTTTGTTTTTGACTTTTAAACTTAGAAAGTATTTCATTATTATTACCAATATTTACTTGTTGGATTTTTATTCAAGACTACCGTTTTTTTCAAAAGGTAGTTTTTTTCTTGTTGATGAATTACTTTTATTCTGACTGGCGTACCAATTACCAGTTTTGTTATTCAGTAGGCGATTTGAAAACATGACGACAATTCAATAATAATTATAATGGTAATCACTTCATTCCAGACAATATTTTGATGCAGTTTGGAATTCCCAAACTGTAGTGTTTCAGCAAATTCACCCATTGTAACATGTTTTCAGATGAAATAATTATGGCATGTAAATATTGCTAATAATAACATGAGCAATAATATGTAATGAGTAGTTGATATTAGGTCACCGTCTAGTTTGTAGGTTTGTCGTTGCACGGAGGGATGAATAGGAAAGTAGGTGTTTGTTCGGTGGTAATAGTTCGCTCAGCCAGTACGGAAGTCTAGTTCGAGCTAACTATTTCTGTTACAGTTGTGTTGTACTGCTCTGACCTTAGCAGTCCACTGCTGTCTGCCGTAATGTTTTCCCTCTTAATGTTGTTAACTTGCAAAAAGATATGTTGAAGACATTTTAAAAATGCGCGAGATTACGTGCTAGGATTTGTTAATGTTTGAATGACTAGAACAAATCCCAAGGGACTAGTTTAATTTAATATAAACTCGATTGAAAATTTTTTGATATCCCCGAATTTAAGGAGGCCAGTAGGTCCGAAAATCTAATGGGAATTCCTGAAATCCGGTGATTGGTGCTCTCTGATTGATGACTTTCTCTCGTAATTCGGCTGCTAGAAAAAATCTACTGATTATGCTTCGAAACCGTACTGATAACTGATAATGACAAAATCAAATCAGCCATAGTCATGCATCACTTCAAGTTATCATGCTTCAAAACAGCTATGTAATAGAGCAACTGACTGACTGGTCAGAATTGGAATGTTTGAGAAATTCGACTCAGTAGTCTGAATCATTCTGATAAAGTCTGTGATAAACTGTGACCTTGAATGAATACAAATACCCTTCAGCGTCTGGACCTTATTAGGGTGTTCGTGATTATCGTTGATTATTTTGTTCAGTGTCTCAACTACCAGTATTAATAAGTAGCAATATGTCTTGAATAAAAAGCAAAGTTATCAGGACTAGGGACTAAGAAGGCAAATGTACACAGAATAGGGAAAAAATTAACACATTTCTATCTCCATGATAGGTATTTAAGTCTTTTGTTTTTAGAAAACGGTTAGTTTTTGTCATAAATTTAGCTATTGTAATTAGAAAACTAAGTTCATCTGAACAATGTAATGTATTAGCGCAACACATTTCAAATAATCTCATCGCACAGTCACTTGTCAAGTAATTATATGTAAGACCAAAGAATGGAAGGACAAACAGAATAACTAAGATAATTAGGGATTAAAATTAAGAAAGATAAAAAGAAAAGTAGTGTAGTTGGCCCTAATCTTGGTTGAGCGTTTTTCAAACTAACCATAGACCGAATTTACATAAGCATACTCTGATATCGAGTTTTGTTTACCATAAGTAATCAGTCAAAAATATTTTTTCATTTGTTTTTCTGTAGCTGTTAGGTCTTGGTCGAGTAAAAACCTTCTTGACCAGTTGTCTTGATTCTCCATCTGAAGATGCTATTTCACAAACGTTAACATTTCTCAGACAAATTCAAGCTTTGAAATTAGTCGAGTCGCAGACACTGCGTTCTGATATCCCACCTAAGGATCATGGAAAAAGTAATAAGGCTAATAGACGATCTCTAAGAGAGTTTGCACAAGCTGTTAAAAACAATGTAAATGTAAGTGGTGTTGACCATTTGGATCCTGAGAGCTTACAACCAGATTTGACTGGTGATGATGTCGATGACGACGAATTAACACCTCTAGGTGTTCATCTAGCCAACTTTCCACTTGATCCTCAGTGTGCTAAGCTTTTGATTTTTGGAGCTTTATTCGGCTGCTTAGAACCGGTTTTGGCTGTAGCTGCATGCTTAACATTTCGTGATCCATTCGAAGTACCTTTGGAAAAACAGAAAGAAGCTGATAAACGTCGATTAGAGTTATCACAAAATTCATTAAGTGATCATTGGGTTTATGCTACAGTTGTTCAGGTAAGATACTCTTATGCCTTCTATACTGTCATATTATGTTATTGTCCATAATGTTTCTCACAACTGAATAAAATTTCACTATGTTTTAATTTGCTGGCTGGTGGCTAGCAGTGAAATCCAGTACACATGTTTCATCCTATTTAGGACTCGTCTACTGAGTATACCTGCCATCCAGTGAGCGATGTTGTTCCCACCAGGACTCTAACTCGGGGGCGATAGCTCCAAAGCGCCAAAATATTATTCACTAGACCAGTGAGTCACGATATCCACTGCTTGTATGACGGGTATAGTATATAAATAATGGCCGATCAGTTCGGTTCAATCGATGACAGAGATTCACAAGCTGTAGCATCAAAGACTGTACTGTGCCCCTCGTGTAAGGATTGTCTATCATAACTCAGAAGCCTAGTGGATATCACTGTGACGTTTGAAGCGATGGTGCCGGGTTCGAGCCTTGGTGGGAACAACACCACTCAGTGGGGGGGGGGGAGGGGGAACACATCTAGCTGACGGCTCCCAAATAGGACGTAAAGCGCGTACTGAATCCCACTGCTAGCCACTATATATTAATAATAGCAAATTCGTTATTGTCTACCTCAACTTATATATAAATAGGATTGTACAGCTTTTGAAAATGAAATAGTTGGAAAGTGAAAGTTTCTCCGCTGAAATTTTATTTTTAGTAGGTTTTTCCTGACATATTTCAGTCGTATCCAATGTATCATGTGTACATAACTCCTACACAGTTTATATGATGGTTTAACTACCAACTGAATACGCCCGACCTTCATTCTTATTTTTTAGTAATTTCCTGATTACTTGGGATGATTGTTACTTAGAAAGCTATATTGTTAACTTTGACTCCATTTTTAAAACTGCTAGCATGAACATATGAAAACGAAGTAGATATTTGGGTGTGTGAATATTCATTTCATAGCTTTTTGTATTGCTTTAGAATCATAAAACATTGTTATACACAAAAAGTGAAATGTGTGTTTTAATCCGCATCGATGTACAGCAGCTAATCATGATATTTTTATTATCTGCACAAAACGTTGTCACCAGCTTCAATCGATTTTCTCTTCTTTTTTATTACGTGTGTGCACGTGTAAATGTATTACAAAATTTCTTAACTAACGTGAAAATATCCTCATTAATTTAAGTCTCTGTGTGTGCTTGTGTTCAATTTTAAGAATATTTATACTATGCATATCTGTATTCGTTTGAAAATAGAACCCTTCTTCACGAGGACTAGAATCGGGTTGAGTAAATAACTAATGAAAATAAAAACTGTGTAAATCGGCATTTGAATTGGTAATTAGTTGTAGTTGTACTGCGATGTCACTTCACTAATTATCGATATTCGAGGGAACTTAGAAGCAGCTTTGTTTTGTTGTAGTTGTTATTAAAAGGTAAACGTACCTTTCCTAATTGGTGATTTATACTCAATCGTTGATACTATAAATTCTTATTTAGTTTTGTCATGGAAATACTTATTGAACTCTCCCTCGCCGTTTGACTCTACAGGGATTGATCTTGTCACAGGAAGGCTCAGTAAATCTAGAGTATTTAGATGACATCATCGTGTTAGGGGAAGAAACTGACAAGATACAATCTATTGGATGCCGTAATCGGAGGTTTGGTACTGTTTGAGATTTGTTTCTCACTAGCTAAATGTAAATTTCTGCCCCAGAACTGATCTTTGCTGGTGCCTTGTTTATCAATAGGGAATCCAATTGTCGAGCGCGTTGATCACTTCACTGATCTGGGGAGTTAGATCAACCCTGGTGGACGATTGACCAGCGAAATCTTAGCATGGGTACAAAAGGCTTGCCTGGTTTTCACCACCTTACGCCATTTACGGCGCCATCGTGATATCCGATTGTCCATCAGGGGTTTAATAAACTGCAGAGTAGTTAGCTCTGACTACATGACTGTGAAGCATGGCTATCAAGAGTAGGTAATATGGGAAGGTTTTGGGTATTTGACCACCGTTGACTTCCTAAGGTATACCGTATTCCGTACTGTTACTGCGTCAATAATGTAGAGGTCAGATGTAGAGTTTTTGGCAGAAAAGGGCAGGTCAGTTGATCAGGTCATGTACTTTCGTTGACTCAGGTGGCTGGGAAATGTGCTACGCACACCTAGCCAGCGTCTATCCCGTAGCAGTAATATCAGGTCCCATGTTGCTTTTTTCTGTTTGAAACTGGTATTTTCAGCATCAAAGAAATTGTGATAATATCTGTTATACTCCGGTTCTAAGCAATTTATTGTCCTTAAAGTTAAATCATGTAAGCGCTATGCCTTCTAACCTTCAATGGTATGGTGTAGGGCATTAACCTGAGCAACTACCTTCTAACCAATGAGTCTAAGTTTCAGTACACATTGAAACCAGATAACTGGATAGTATCATAAGGCTTCACATAATATTACGTATAGCTCATAGCCTACTACACAAACCTGTGCTGAGTAACTGAAGTGCAGTTGTCTTTCTTACATCCCAAGATAATCTCGTATGTTGTTTTGTACTTGGTCGTAAGATCAGACGATCTTGAAGTAATTTCTCGTTGACAGTTAACTGTTGAATTTTACGAGTGACTTTAAAACCCATCCTACCAACAACTGAATTAACCAATTAGACTTCTCTGTTTTCTGAAAATCTACCTTTTCATGTAAAAGGAAAAAAACTTAGTTTTTCCTATCGTTACTAAGATGGTCTTTAAGGTCGCCCAATTTTACTGGTCGGGTGTAATCAGCTGCTAGTGTAACTTTCAGGATCGCTCTAAATTGGAAGGGTACTCACCCTGGTGTTTTACATTTTTCGTCATAGCGGGGTGAGTCTAAATGGAATATCACGCTGAATATAGTTCTGTTGCTGCAATTGTTAGTCAGATTGATGATTACAGTGTTTGTCTGTTGTGATATCATTTTTACTAATTTGCAGTCAGTATTTAGATGTCGATATAGACAGTTCATCGCTTAGGGTATTTCATATTGTTTTGACGTTGGGAAAAGTTAATGTTTCACTGAAATGTGCTCATTGATACACTTTCTTATTTTATTTCACTCTCTGAGTCTTGTTACTTATTCCTTGCTGACCTTCTGTCTTCCTCTAGTTCATATCAGTAAGTTGTTATTCCTCAACAATATTCTCAACTGTGACATCGGCTAAACATATACTTGAGTCTCTAAAGTGAACAGTTTCCTATAAATTGGAGCAGACTTTCCTGATGATGCTTAGTAAATACGAAATGTATGTTTCGAAGTTTCTTGTGATTACGTGTGATCAGTAGACGCCCAATAAGAAATATCATAAGATATAGTCATTCAAGTTGAAATGATGGAGAATTTTAGTAGCGCAGAGTGTGAATGTTCAGATTGAGTAGTCCTCTAAGCTGGATTTTTTTTGATGAAGTTTTCAATGTCTAGTATGACACTGAAACGTTCACTGACCAAAACTTCAGCTCACAGAACAAGTTAATTTGAATAATCATACAGGTAATTGGTCATATTTTACACGAAATCAAAGATCAAAATCGAAATTCACTGAGCAACCTTTTGCATACTCGTGCAGTAGTCAGTAAACCACACCTGTTTTGTGAGGACTAATAGTACTATCCGCTTCCCCGAATCTTAGTAAGTGGAGTGAGGTTCGAACCCGTGACCCACAGGTTGAAAGTCATCTCCCTAAACCAGTGAACCACAGCTCCACGAAACCATCACAAAATATATAAGTACGTCAGTGTTTCTCCTCATCTATATTCCAAGTATGTTACAAAGTATGCTAGAGGATTAATGCTTAAACTATTATCGTAATCCTATTTTCTCTTTTCCTTTTCTTTTACACGTGAAATTCCCAAGAACTACAAAGGAATTAATTCACATTTTGATCGTCGTCAATTCTGTCAAAAGTATTTTCTCAATGAGCGCACGATTAACGTAAGCAAACATTCTTTGTATACTTTGAATATTATGTTATTTCAGCTTTTTTAAAAATATTATTTTCGAATACTGCTTAGTAGTTTCCTTCCTTGTTCTATTAAATTAATTTATAGAATTAGATTTAGATATATTTGTTGAAAGTTAATTCTTATCTTCCTTATATACACCTTTTTTTTCGTATTACTCACTCGTTTACAATACTACCGACTGACTGTTAGCATGCGGCTTATTGAATGAATTCATGTGTACAGGGTATGTATGCATGAGCTGATATATTTTAGTTAAATTTGTAAATCTGACGATGGGCAAAAATGTCATTGCCACTCAAATGAAGTAAAGCTACTGTTCAGCCAGAGCAAAATAAAGTACTTTCCCTTCAAGATTTATCTGTTGATGCTGACAATGAGAAAATCTAATCCTGAAGTCTCTGACTGTTGGTCTGAGCCGTGTAGGGAGGTATAGACTACCTGGTTGAGGTCCCCGAAATGACAAGAATCAGTGATTGAAGACTTTTGATGAAAATCGATCACAAGAGCACAGATGTAATCACTCTTTGATGTATTCTAAAGATTGGATATTCTAACTAATCTCCTATAAACGTTTGTCTACTTTCATATCGGTCTTCCTTTGTGTACCACTGTGAATTCTGGCAACTTGAGCCGATGCATTTGTATGCGAGGTTCTACGTTGAATATGTGTGTCTGTCTGCCATAACTAAGTAAAACTCATGAATTAAGCGTATCTTCAGCCTCGAGGAAACGGATGTATTTCTTCAATAACATGAATTCCGTATCTTTTAACATATGTAGAGATGTCTCATGGAGCTATTCACTGAATGCGTCCGTACAACTGGAATACACATACTAGTCTACCACTGGTAGTGGTTCCAGCTATTTAGTACCAAATGAAGTGCCCTACCTTATTAAATCATAGAGTGTTTAGTAATCCCATTGTAAAACCTGACGGATGAAATCCAGTTGAAAATTGAGACTAAATATAATATGTAAAGGAGCTTTATTCTCCGATTGACAAAAGAAAACTATTGAAAACTAGAAAGTATTAAACACCTGTGTATTCCTAACTTGAAGGCTGATTTTTAAAAAGCATGCAGCCGTATGCCACTGTTAAAATCAGCCAATTCCCCCTGGATACTTTCAAAATGAACAGCTACTCAGTTTTGCCAGTAACTTTCTATGAGTGGACGCCTTCGAAGTTCCAGTGAAAATTCATGACTTGCAAGGTCCATCAACTTGGAGATCATGAAAAGTGCTTATCAATGACGTCGGATGATGGTCGCGCAACATTTTAAATTGACAGAAGTTGGAAAACATTGTCTATTTTATTCCAAGTTAGTGACTGAGTGATAACGTCCTTATTGCGAAAATTAAAGGTTTGTCTTTTCATCCAACGTAGATTACTCGGGCTTTACCAACAAAATGACAGGATCAGCGATCACGGTCATGATTACTGGAAAAACTCATCACTTCACAAATTCCTCATGTATGTATCTTCATTGAATAATATTTTCGAAATTACTATCGGGTTAAATAACTCTCGATTCTAATTGACTGATTGTCCGTGTTCTGATCGTTTAAATGATAATTACCTTTAGTTTAATGGTCTAATCATTGCCGGAGTCGTTTGCCTGTAAAGAAATTGCATCGAAGACCTCGTTTTTACCATGAATTTGATGTTTCTCTTTTCCTCATTACAATTATAAGTAAAATATATTTCTTATGGGGTTTCGATGCGTTGTTGACACCAACAACTAAAATGACTATTGTATGAACGAAACATTAAATTACTACTAGCACTGACTTGCATTGTAAATAGTGAGTGTACTAACGAACGAAACGCATTCACCCTGTTTGTGGGCGTCTATACAGTAGGCGATGGGCCGTACCTATATTGTGTGACCTAGTGTTACTATCTAGCTGCCCAGGCCTCGGTAGCTGGAGCGGGCGTAGAACCCGTGACCAAATGGTTGTTAGTCTCCGTAATCCTTTGAGCCACAGCCCCACACAGCAGGTGTTGATGGTTATATTTTGAAATGTCACTGTCATATTTCTTAGTGTACAATAATAGGTACTGAACAGTAATCGTGAATAAACAGACGTATTTTTAATTAATTCACTAACATTTTCACCTGTAATCGAATCTCATTCTTTTGTGTAGCCCTATTCTGCCAGAGTATTTATCACGATAATAGGAATATCACATGTCAGAAATCACTGCATTGAATAATGGCTTCTTTTCAGCTAGAGACATCAACGTTATTCCTAAATATATACCTGTTGTCAGTTATGTTAGCCAAACTGTTTCCCAATACAAATGTAAAACAAACAAAAAACATTATTAAAGCACGGTTTACTGTATTCATAAATTTCAGCATTTTACTCTACATACATGATTTCGTATACTATTATGCAATGGAGGGACACATACACGCCATTATAGGCGAAGAAATTGAATGAAGCGTGGCAACACAGAGTGAATAACTTACTAGGTCAAGTAGAATTATGAATAGGTTCAAGGCGGAGGTATCAAATTAATAATGAATAAAAAGACTAAGGATGGATTACATCATTTTGAACAGAATAGTGGGTAGTCAACTAGATAGTTTGATAACAGTGCACAACCAAGGAACTTTAGGTGTTAGGTAAACAAAAATGTTGGTCATAATAATGAGAGTAGGAGTGAATGATAACTATTACCATTTGTTTACACCTGTAAAGCTCATTTGTTATACTCATCATCATCATCAATACCAATATAGGACCAGGCATTACTGCGTAACATTCCGAGTTGCCACAGCTCATGTCACTACATCAAGTAAAAAGGCAGTGAGATGCAAGATAAAGATAAGAAGACTCAGACAAAAGAAATATAAAGTACGAAAGGAGAGAAAGGGGGAACGAGAAAATGGTGAGATTTGGCATTGCGTTGTTAAGATAATATATGTATGATTCTGTGCCACTGACATCGGTTCTGGGCTATATCACCTAGAGTCTCTAACCACTGGTTTCTTTTATCCTGCGGACCCCAACCGGCTAGTCTGCATCGCCGTACATGACTCAAACCAACAGTCAAAGACTTCATACATTGATGCCATGTTTTAGTCTGGCCGCCTCGGGCCTTTTCCCAGCCTGAACAGGCTTTGGCCAACATTGTGTGACAAGGTAATCGGTGGCTAGGCATACGTAATACGTGTCCCAACCATCTCAGTCGATGAAGGTTTACAACCGTGCCAACTGACTTACCTCTCTCTACACCTGACTTCTGTGTTACTCATGTGGTGACACCACGGAATACAGCCTATACTACGAAGGCAACGGTGGTCAAACACTTGAAGCCTTCTCATGTCTTCCACCTTCAATGGTCATGTTTCACAGTCATACAGTAGAACAGATCTGACTGCTGTGCAGTACACGTGACCTTTAATAGACAATCGGATATCACGGCTGCCCCACAGATGGCGTAAGTTGGCGAAAGCCAGCCGAGCCTTTTGTATTCGTGCAGAGATTTCGTCGGCCACTGAGCCACCATGGGTGATCCCACTTTCGAGGTAAGTGAGGTTGTCAACACACTCAACCACTACACTCTCTGTTGCTGGCCGTGGCACCGTTGAAGACCAGTTCTGGAGCTACAATTTGCATTTGGGTGGTGAGAAACGCATCCTAGACATTTTCAAAGTGTTCAGAAGACTGCACCTTGTCAGCGTCTTCACCTAACAGGACTATGTCATCTGCGTATTCTAGGTTTTAACGAAAAATTTTCCGCTATCAGGTCAACCTGTGTAATAAGGTGACGAGAGGAAGACCTCCATAAGAATATCTATGATAAAACTGAATAAGAATGGGGAGAGTGAACATCCTTGACAATGCTCGACGAGCACAGCCCCTAGGACATCTCACCACAGATTCTAACACGTTCATAAGTGTTCGAGTAGAGGGCCTCCAATAAAATGGTGTACTTACTCGGCACGCCTTTCAGTGAGAGACACTGCGATGAGACTTCTCAATAGAAGGAGTCGAATGTCGCCTTCAGGTCGAGAGATACAGCAAGTGTCGGGCGTCTGTAAGCGTGCCTATGTTCCAGGACCTGGCGCAGTGTGAATATTTGGTCGACACACCCGCGACCGGGTCTAAAACCTGCCTGGTTTTCTCGGGCTTGTTGTTCCGGAGCTCCAATCAGGTGTTGAGGAATTATAGAATCTAGGATCTTGGACACTGTTCGTCAGGCTGATTCCTCTGTGGTTATCACAAGAGGACTTCTCGCCTTTCTTGAAGACTGGGATGATGAGTGACTTAGACCAGTCGGAGGGGATCGTATTTGATTCCCATGTGCTAGTTAACACTTCCGTTAACCTGACTAAGAGCACCTTACCACCATTCTTGTATACCCCAGGAGTTAGTCCATCTGGTCCTGCTGCCCTTCCTCGTTTCCGACTACTGACCGCTTTCTCGATTTCTGCAAGTGTTGGGGAGCATATCTCAATGTTCCATTTAGGATCCGACTGGATAGCGGGTAACGCAATGGTGGCTGGAGGCCAGTTAAACTGTTCCTCAAAGTGTTCTGCCCATTGCTCCAGTCGCCTCCTCTAAGAGTGAGTCACAGATCCGTCTTTCTCTGCTATAGCCTCACTAACCGTTGTTAACCTTTTCCCCCCAGTTTCCCTAATAAGTCTAAACAACTGTCTACTGTTACCAATCGCCACTGCCTTTTCCATCTCTTTAGCCTTCGCTGCTCACCACTGTTCGTGGTCGTTGCGTAGAATTCTTTTCAACCTACTTTTAAGTTGCGCTTGTACTCAGAGCCTGCAGAGATGAGTTCACGTGCACCCATTAGTTCAGAAGAAGCTGCTGATATCCACTGGCTCTTTTTAGCCACTCTTCCTGAGTCGGCTATGGTCTTCAGCGCTGCTTTTACTGCAGATTGGAGATGGCACCAAGCTTCTTCTGGATGAGTGATAGTGTTCTGATCCGATAACTGCCTAG